TTTTTCCCCCCTGTGACAGCATCTCCTGTAGCCGAGGTTGGCTTCCAACTTGTTATGTATCCGAAGCTGGCCTTGAATACTTAATCCTTACACCTCCTCTTCCCAAGTGCTGAGGCCAGGACCACTAAGTCTGATGTTGCTTTCTTTCTTTCTTTCTTTTTCTGTTTGATTTTTTGAGACAGTCTTCTCATGGAGTCATAGATGGCCTAGAACTTGCTATGTACACAAGGATGGCCTGAAACTTGCACCAACCCTTCTGCCTCTGCTGCCAGAATCTGGAATTGCAAGCCTGTGTCACATCCTGCCATGATGACGGAAGCAGTTACCAGAGCTCTAATGCTGCCTCATGCTGTGAAATGGTCCTGAGGCTGCAGGGCCGCAGCTTTCCTCCCTTCTCCAAATACTTAAGTGGCTGGATTTGCCCATGGCCCGTTCTCAGGCTCATTTGCACTATGGTGCTCTAAACTACGTATACACATACAATTCTCAATTCTTTCTTTCGCTTCAACTTATTTGGGGCCCTTATATCTGTATTTCTACATATTGGCCGTCACCATCCAGACATGACAGAAACACTGTGAACTCCATGATGAAACCCATTTCTCCACGCTTGTTCCTCCTCAACATCTGTTACAGAATCATTATTTACCTAAGTTATTTAGGGCAGAAATTGGAGGTCCACCCTCGGCTCTTCCCCATCATCATCCAGTTAGTCACTGCCTGCTGAGTGTGCATTCTACATGCACTCCAGTCTGTCTGTCCTTGTTCTCTGCTCCATTCAGTCCTTCCTCAACACAGGAAGTGGACCACTGCAACACCTTCCTAACTGAGCCCTGCGTTCATTCCTGTCATTCTCCCTTTGTGACTGCTCTACTCGCTTGCTTAAACTGTCGTGTAGCTGTACTTACCCGTAACAGCAGTTCCCAAAGGTTGATCTGTGAGCGTATGTGGAGTAAGTTAGAAGAGCCAACTATTAGACTCTGATTTGGCAGTGACTTACAGCACTGCTTGCTCTGCCTATTTGTCAAGCATGACTTCACTTGCTCTCTGAACACAATGAGAAATAGCCGAAACAATGGGTGGTTGCCCCTAACAACCTGACTGCCTGCATCTTGCTCACCTGCCCCATTTGTGGCTTTGGAGTATAAAATGAGAGTACAAACTGGACGTGGGATGGAAGCCCAGGAGCTATCCTGACTTCTCTCCGACTCTCTGGTGTTCAAATAAATGCTTGTTCCATGAAGATTCAACATTGCATTCCTCAACAAGCTCTTGGTGTCAGCTGAAATGATTTTAGGTGGTAGATAGACGATTAAAAAAAGAAACCCACAAAACCCACACTCTCAAGTGTCCCAAGCTGGCCTTGAACTCTCAGTGTAGCTGATAAACTTCTGCTGAACTTTGGAGCCTCCTGGCTGAATGCTGGGATAACAGGCATGCATAACCATGCTTGGTTTTCTGTGGTCCGGGGGACTAACACAGGGCTTTGTGCATGGTAGGCAAAACACCTTTCTCCTCCCCTCCCCCTGCCAAGACAGGGTTTCTCTGTATAGTCTTGCATAACTACACAAGGCTCTGTGTAGCTGTCCTGGACTCACTTTGTAGACCAGGTTGACCATGAACTCACAGAGATATGCCTGCCTCTGCCTCCCAGAGTGCTGGGATCACAGGCATGGGCCAACACACCCAGTGTTGTTCAAATTTACTGTAGAAAGTCTTGCTTTTCTGTTTATAGAAGTGTGATTAAAATGTCCTTTTAGAGTAAATTTGTTTTAAAATCTGGTTAAGAAAAAAAATGCCAAGCAAAAAATAATTTAGAGGATGGGGGGGGGCATATTTCCAAATGTTTCAAATCACAAGTACAGGGCAGAAGGCAAGATGGCTCAGAGGCTAAGAACTTGGCTGCCCTTGGGAAGGACCAGAGTTGGGCTCCAAGCCTCTATACTGGACAGTTCACAACAGCCTGAAACTCCAGCTCCAGGGGATCTGACATCCTTTTCTGAACTCTTCAGAAAACTGTATTTAGGTCCAATACCACCACACAGACACACACACACACAAAAGCAGGTCAAGGTGGTCCATGCTGAGATCTTTGTTAGTTTAAGGCCAGCTTAGTCCATATTGCATTTCAGGCCAGTTGGGACTACATAGTGAGACCTTGTCTCAAATACATAAATAAATCTTAAAAAAAAAAAAAAAAATCATGAGTACTCAAAATATTTGAAGAAGAGAAATTTCTTATTTTAGGATTAAACAGCAAAATTTTTAGCATGGCAATATGATCCTATGCTGCCATTTGCACATTTATTTCGTAGTCACATAACTTTAAACATACAGCATTCCTTTTCATTCTAACATTTCACGTTCATTCATTTCTTCTTTAACATGGGACAGGTGCCAGGCACAAGTTTTGGAGATAATTACAAATACAGGGCTAGAGAGCTGGCTCAGCAATTAAGAGCATTGGCTGATCTCCCAGAGGACCTGGGTTCAATTCCCGGCACCCACATGGCAGCTCACAACTGTCTGTAACTCCAGGATCCAACACTCTCACACAGACATCTATGCAGGCAAAACACTAATGCACATAAAAATTTAAAAATATACGTTTTTTTTAAAAAGCATCTTTACTGTAAGGATTACATCCTAAAGGGGAATATAATCAATAATTGTTAGAAACAAAACAAGGTAATTAGACATCCTTTTTTTTAAATTCTAAGAAGGAAACAGGAAAAGAGGATAGTAAAACTGCTTTCAGGTGACAGTACTGAAACCCGAAGGATGAAGCTGAGCCACCCATGCCAAAGAAGTGGAGGGACAGCATTGGGATGCAGGCTGGCCCGGCATGTGCTCTACCTAAGCTACACTCCTGGCCCTGGGAACTGAAAGTTGCAAAATCCCTGAGATGAGAAGAGTACACCACAGGTAAAAGCAACTGCAGAGGGGGATCAATAAGCTAGCCTGGTCTACCCAGGAGTGCCAGGGCAGCCAAGGTTACATAGTAAGACCCTGCCTTAAAAATAAAATAAAAAACAACAGACCAACAACCCACATGTGATGGATATTTGTGGTTGTCAACTACATCTGGAATGAACTATGAATCCAGAAATGGAGGGCACACCTGTGGGATAGTTTCTGCTTGGTTTGAAGGGGGTGGATCCACTTCTAGTCCAGACCTTTGAGGCAGAAAGACACATCTCTGATCCTGATCTTGAGGTGGGAAGACACACTCCTTTAATCCTACTTTTGAGATAGGTAGACACCCTGTTAATCTGGGCCACACAGGCTTCCATGACATGGAAGAAGGAAGATTTGGTTCTTTGCCTGCTTCCCCTCACCTTGCTAACAAGTCCATTCCTCACTGGCACTTCAGCCTCCTCCTTCCGGATTCCAGCATATACTGAAAACCAGCTGAGACACCAGCCTTGTGGGGCTGGGCAACTATCAGATTCTTGGACTTTCTGTAACCAGCTGGCCATTGTTAGATTAGCTGGACTGCAGCCTGTAAGTCATTTCCATAAATCCCATATATGTGTATATAGAGAAAGAGAGATTATGTGACTCCAGAAAACCCTGACTAATACACCATACTACCTTCAAGAATGTGAAGCTGCTGTTTTTAAGGCTCTGATGCCTCCTTTCTTGTCTGTCTCTTATTTGTGCCATGCTGGGAATGAAACCTGGGGCATCATGAACACTACAGCAAACTCTTATCAAATGAGCTACATTCTCAGCTCCAGGAGTTACCGTAAAAAAAAAAAAAAAAAAAAAAAAAGAAACCAAGTATGGTGGGACACACCTTTATTCCTACCAATCCAGAGGCCAAAGCAGACAGATCTCTGCCTGGTCTACAGTGAGACCCATCTCAAAACAACAAAAAATTGTTATCTGCCTGACTAATGACATTTCAGCTGTCCTGTCTGGAATTAAAAGCATGCACCATCATCACTCAGCATTGAACTCATTCTTTTAATGCTTGCTATAAAGATCGGATTGCTTCTTCGAACAGAGTATGTATGCTCTAAGGTAGTTTTTAGTCTTAATTTATATATATATATAGAAGTCAGAGGGCACCTTGGAAAACTCATTTCTTTCCTTCCACCATTTGGATGCCAGGGATCCAACTCAGGATGTCAGGCTTCGCGGTATCAGCCTTTACCAACCCTCATTATTTGAGATTAAAAACAACAAAAATTTAATTCAACTTCCATTTGCTAATCTGGAGTGGAGAGACGGAAAACAAACCTCTAATAAGGAAACTGACACGGCTTAATAGGATTTGTTAGCTGAAGGTTTTAGGGGAAAGTCACTGACTTCACTCACTCTTTGAATTTGTCCCAACGTGCCTGCTCCCCACCGGCTCAAGATAGCTGTTGGGAGCACTTCCCGCACCATTTTACTTTACTTTATATTTTTTGAGACAAGATCTAATTCTGTAACCTCGGAGCCGGGCGTGGTGGCACACGCTTTTAATCCCAGCAGCTATAGGTGGTTATGTGTGAGTTGGAGGCAAGCCAGGGCTACACAAAGAGACCCTGTCTCAAATAAACAAACAAAACAAAATCCACAACGGCCCGTTAACGCACACCTTTAATCCCAGCACCTGGGAGGCAGAGTCTGAGGAAGGTGGATCTCTGTGAGTTCGAGGCCAGCTTGGTCTACAAAATAGGACAGCCAAGGCTGTGTAGCGGCTACACAGAGAAACCCTGTCTCGAAAAACCAAACCAAACCAAACCCAACGCCAACCTGTGCAGCCTTGGCTGGCCTAGGACTCACCAGGCGGACCAGGATGGCCTCCAACTCAACGTGACCCACCCGTGCTCACGAGGGCGCAGGTTGAGAGCGTTTCGCCACGCAGCGTTTCCAGCCTCACTGCACGGTAGCGCCGCCTGCGTTTGCGAATTTTTACCGCGCCGAAGGCGGGACTCGGAGCCGATTGCTGATTGGCCGGCCTGGCCGGTGACGTTTGCGCGCTGCGACAGTTTCCCGAGGTGCCTCGCTCCTGGCAGCGCAGACGAGAGCGCCGAGGGAAGCAAGATGGCGGACGTGCTGGATCTTCACGAGGCCGGGGGCGAGGATTTCGCCATGGATGAGGATGGGGACGGTGAGGAGAGTGGAGGCGGCTGCGGGAAGCGGGGAAGGTGCGAGAGGAGGACGCCGGAGGAGGCATTTTTGGGGGGTTGTGGGCCTAGGGACCGGGTCTCGAATAGATAGACTCCTCCCCCCTGGGAAGGAATTAGGGGCGGAACCGGGAAGGGGCGGAACCTGCAGTCGGTGCTGTATGCTCCCAGACACTCTCGGAAACCTACAAGATGACTCTTATTCTTGTTGCTTCTCATTTTCTTATCTGTAACTCTAGAGAGCATCCACAAACTAAAAGAGAAAGCGAAGAAACGAAAGGGCCGCGGCTTTGGCTCCGGTGAGTGTGGGGAGCAGGGTAGTGCTCTAATAGCGAGAAGCCCGCGAATTTGGGGGTCCGATGGGAACACACCTGGAGGGCAGTTTTCGGTGATCTGGTATGTGTTCTTTTAGAAGAGGGGTCCCGAGCGCGGATGCGGGAGGATTATGACAGTGTGGAGCAGGATGGCGATGAACCAGGACCACAACGCTGTAAGTAAATAGGACCTGCGAAGTGTTTGTCCGTATTGGCACTTAAATGGAAATAGGTAAGAGATTGTTTAACCAGCCTCGAGAGTCCAGTCATTGCTTACTGCAGTTCTGCTTGGAATTTTTCATTTTTAGTTGTTTGTTTTTGTGTTTTGAGACAGGGTTCCCAGTGTAACATGGCTGACCTGAAACTTTTTTTGTAGTCCAGGCTGGTCTTGAACTTACATCATATACCTCCCGAGTGGTGGGATTAAAGGCCTGCCATACCAGGCCTTGCTTTTTTGTTGTTGATGATACAGTGTCTCACTATGTAGCTCTACCTTGCCTGGAACTTGCTCTGTAGACCAGGATGACCTGGAACTCACAGATCTGCCTGGGTCTGTCTCCTGAGTACTGGGTTTTTGTTTTTCGAGATAGGGTTTCTCTGTGAAGCCCTGGCTGTCTTGAACTCACTCTGTAGACCATTGTGGCGTCAAACTCGGGAATCTACCTGTCTCTACCTCCTAAGTGCTGGTATTGAAGTCATGGGCCACCGTGCCTGATCTAGTACTGGGCTTTTTATCTTACATGCTCAGAAAACACCCTTTCGTACCCCACAGCTGTTGAAGGTTGGATTCTCTTTGTCACTGGAGTCCACGAAGAAGCCACTGAAGAAGATATCCATGACAAATTCGCTGAATATGGGGAAATAAAAAACATCCACCTTAATTTGGACAGGCGTACAGGATACTTGAAGGTAGATTTTCTTGCTTCCTTCGCTATTAACTCTTAGATAATCCTGGTGGTTATTTTGTGTTTGCTGTGGTTGGCTAAGAATGGGGAGTAAGTGAAATGCCATTGGAAGTTGATTGATACCCATGAGAAAGACAAGCAGCACAGTCATGTTGCGTGTACGTTGGTATGTGATACGCTTTTTACAGTGTAGAGCTGGTAAAGTTTTCTGCTAAGCATGCATTTCGGGTTTCAGAAAGAGGCTGCTTGGTGGTTGGGGAAGTCAAGTTTTGATACTTTTGTATTTTTCCCCAGGGATACACACTAGTTGAGTATGAAACATACAAAGAGGCTCAGGCTGCCATGGAGGGACTCAATGGTCAAGATTTGATGGGACAGCCAATCAGTGTTGACTGGTGTTTTGTTCGTGGTCCACCAAAGGGCAAGAGGAGGTAAAATGGAGGGGAGGGCAAACATTTGCCTTAGTGAAGGGAACATGAGCAAGATGAATAAGCATATTGTATTCTTCCTCTGATGGAATCTCTCTTTTTTTTTTTTTTTCTTAGAGGTGGCCGAAGACGAAGCAGGAGTCCAGACCGAAGACGCCGTTGATAGAGCCTCTGTTGACCAGGTGGTCTCTCTACGAGTCCATTTGGTTATACTGCCTTGGATACATAGGGCTAGGGTAGAACTGTGTTTATATTTAATTCCTTACCCTATCTACTTAGTATAGCTTTTGAGCCTAAAAAAATGATAATAAATGTTTCACTTTGTTTTTCTACATTTAAAATTATTTTATGGTTCTGTAAACTCTGAATAACCATTAGAGTTATTTTGAAGATACTTGGGACTGGAGTGTAATTCTCAGTTTCTAGAAAGGCTCAAAGAGAGTGCTCAGTATTTCTTTCTCTTCGAAGACAAGAGCAGGGGTAGTGAGACTTTCTTATGGTTAGTGAATGTTTCTTACACACTTAGTGAGTAGATGTTATATTAGTGTGTCTTTTGCTGCTCTGTCAGACAGTCTTGTGTAGCCCCGGTTGACCCTGAGCTCATTGTGTTGCCAAGAATGACCTTGAAGGACTGGTACTGGCCTCTTGTCCCCCAGGTGCCAAGATTCCAGGTATGGGCCTCCAGTTTCTGTGGTCTCTGGAATTGAAGCATTGTGCTTTGAGATGCTCGGCCAGCTCTTCCTTGAATATGGTGCTGAATATGACTTTGTTAGGTTCCTACAAAACAAAAGAAATCCAGCTTGAATACGATGTGATAATATGTGCACCTTTAATCCCAGCACTGGGAAGGCAGAGGCAGGAGGATCTCTTTGAGTTCAAGGCCAGCCTGGTCTACAGAGAGAATTCCAGGATAGCCAGGGATATAAAGAGAGACCCTGTCTTGAAAAACCAAAAGAAAGAAAGACATTACATTTCCTTTATCATAGTTTTTAGCTGAAGTGATTTTTTCTCGTATGTCTGTAGCAACTGTGTGATTGTTGTTGTTTTGAAGTCTAAAGTCACTGTGGCCCACAGTGGCCTCAGACTGCTTCTGTCTCTGTCTCCCCAGTGCTTAATGGCAGATATTAAACCAAGAGTTTTTTCAGATGCTTTCGGCTGCTTTTCCCTTCATTTTGGTAAATTGCTGGGGGTTTTGGATTGAATTGGCTAAGAAAGTGTTTTAGTTTAGGGTTTGCAGGATTAGGGTGCCTTGGGTCTTTCTGGTAATGTAGATTGAATAACTGTTATTGGGTAAAAGGTAAGCCTGGTTCTCAGATTTCTAGATATTCTAAGGAATTTGGAAGAGTGAGTTGAGCAAGCATGAAGGACTTTAGGACTAACTAGTAAATCTATTAGCTAGAGAGACGTTAGAGGAACTGCTTGGATATGACCTGGCTATTCTGAATTAGTTGGAAAGATCCTCTTTTTATTCTGTGTTCTTATGTTTCCAGATTGTCTTTGTGCTTTGCTTGAGAAGTATAAAAATAGCTCATTAGGGGTAGAGATGTGGCTCAGTTGGTAGGGCGGCACGGTGGCTCCTGTCTGTAACCCCAGCACTTACTTGGAAGGAGTGACAGAGAAGCATAAGCTCAGGTCACCCACAGCCACAGCCAGGTGGCCAGAGGCCTGGGTCATGTGACAGCTTGTCTTGGGGGGGAGGTGGAGAGCAGGGAAACTCATTCATTATGTGCCCTTCTAATCATCCTTTTTCCGCAGAACCTAATCATGTATAGTAGAAACTTTCCTTTTAACTACTAAGACTTTGAAACTTGAGCTTACGGATATAAGCAGTTTTCTGCTATTCCTATGTCGTTCTCTAGACCATAAAAAACCTACATTTTTGTTTATCTTCATTTGAATGTATACCAGGTATTCCAGTAGTTTTTTTTTTTTTAATTTATATATTTTTATGTGTATTGGTGTTTTTGCCTCCATGTATATCTGTGAGAGTGCCAGATTTTGGAGTTACAATTGTGAGCTGCCATGTGGGTGCTGGGATTTGAACCCCAAGGCCTTCAGAAGATCAGTCAGTTCCCTTAACCATCTCTCCAGCCCACTCACTTTTGCTTTGTTTTTCCTTCAGGCTTTTGAGACAGGGCTTCTCTTGTGTAATTCCTGGCTGTCGTGGAACTCACTCCATAGAGCAGTCTGGTCTCGAAATCACAGATACCCACCTGCCTCTTCCTAGCCCTAAGATTAAAGGTGTGCGCCACCACCGACCGACAGTTTTGTCTTGTTTTTTAATATTTATCAGTCATCTGTCTATCCAGTGTTTTGCCTGCACGTATGTTTGTGTGTGTGTGTGTGTGCTGATGCCTCAGAAGGTCAGAACAGGGCTCCAGATCTGGGACAGGAGTTGCAGGTGGTTGTGAGTTGCTGTGTGGGTGGGGGGGGATTCAATCCTATGTCTTCTGGAAGAGCAGCCACTGCTCTTAACCCCTCAGCCAACTCCAGCCCTAGGTTTCTTTTTACGGTGGGTGGTAGAGATCCTGTTTGTAATATTGTCTTTTTTTTTTTTTTTTTTTTCCTTTACAATCAGGCTTTTGCTGCTGCTGCTGCTGCTGCTGCTGCTTTTTAGGCAAGATCTTAAAACTAGCTCAGGGGAGTCTGGAACTCAACTCTGTTACTACGTTTTCCTCCAGTGCTGGGTCGTTGAGATTAACAGGTGCAGAACAGTCAGGCTTGTGTTTAATTTCTGATACTTTATGATTTGAGGATTAATCTTGGGCTTTTTAATGATGGGGTCTTGCTATTTCACCTTGGCTGGCCTGGAATTCACAAATAGACTACTAGTCATGTGAACCTCCTACCTCTGTCTCCAGATTGCTGTAATTATAGGCGTGTACCACAGTGCCTAACTAATTTTAATATAGAATCAGTAAAACTCACAAACTTCAGTCAGCCTCCACCTCTTAGTGTGTCTCTACTTGCCTCAGGATAAACAACTATCTGTGACCTAGCCCACCTTTCCTCTCTCAGAAAAGTTTTCCCTGAACTTCAAGAGTTAGAGACACATTCCATTCTTGGTTAACACTTACTGTGGCTGGGCATACCAGGCGAGAGGTTGCCACAAGGACCTGCATGTAGCATTTAAGTGTACTGATGGCCTTTTTTTTTTTTTGAGACAGGATTTCTCTTTGTAGCCTTGGCTGTCCTGGACTTACTTTGTAGACCAGGCTGTCCTCGAACTCACAGCAATCCACCTGCTTCTGCTGCCCAGTACTGGGATTAAAGGTGTGAGTCTCCATCCCCAGCTTGGACATAATTTCTTGAATGGAATAGAAACCACAAAATTTAACCCAAAGCTCCAGAATTTTTATGTATCGGTGTTTTGCTTTTCAAGTTTGTGTCCCACATGCGTGCCTGGTACCTGCTGAGGTTTGAAGATGGTATTGGAGCCCCTGGAACTGGTTACAGATGGTTGTGAGCCAATGTGTGTACTGGAAATTGAACCCTAGTTCTCTCCAACTCCACAGCCAGACTTCCATTCTCCACCTCTCTCTTTTTTTGAGACCATGTTCTCTGTTTAGCCATGGCTGTTCTGAAACCTGCTGTGTAGACCAGCCTGGCCTCAAATTCAGAGGTCTATGCTGGGATTAAAAGTGAGTGAGCCACTATGCTTGGCTAGGGTAAAAAACATTTATTTTACACGTATGAATGTCAGCCTGATATATACATACGTGCATCGAGTATGTGCCTGGTGCCGGTGGAGGCCAGAAGGGAGCGTCAGATCCCCTGGAGGCAGTTGTGAGCTGCTATTCATATGCTGGGAATTGAACCCCCTTCCATGGCAAGAGCAGTAAGTACTCTTAACCACCAAGCCAGAGCGCCAGCACTAAAGTCAGTCTCAGCTCTGGCTGGACTGAATGGAACTCTAGATAAATTTAAGGTGGCTTTAAACTTTAGCAGTCTCCTGCCTCTGCCTCATAAGTGTTGGAAGTACACGTATGTTCCATCCCCCGGGAAAATGAAGGGGTCTGGCATGTAAATCATCCTAACTTCACGGGAGATAGAGCCTCCCTCCCACAGGATTCATGGCTAGTGGCAGAGCATGAGGTGCAGTAACTTCCCAGGCACCTACTGTGTAGCCAAATTCCTGTTCAGCCCTTCATTCACCTAGGGCAGGGCAAACCAGAAATCAGGTCTCCCGCGTACATTTCGTTCACACCTGAGCACTGGATGAAAAAGACAGTACTGCTTCGGGGCAGGAAAGCTGCTGCTCACACGCCAATTAGTTTTTGGAGACATGGCTGTCTAACGTGATGTCTCCAACCAGACACTGGACAAGAGTAGTTCAAGTAGGGGCCTAACCACAGAAGACCACAGAAGACCGGTAGGTTGTTGGCGGCTAAACGATTCCAGAGTAGCGTGTCTGGGAAGAGTTCGAGTCGGCTGGGTTTCTGCGGTGCACTGACCACAGCACGGCCAGGCTTCTTCCAGCAAAGTAACACACGGCATAATGGTCACTGCCGTTCGGCCACTGCTGTCCCTAGAAGACGGGACTCTGACTGTTTCCACGCCTTCCACCGTCCATCAGCACGCTGTCCTGGAAGGTGGCCTGCGGCTATTGTCCGCTCGCTTCTGCCCCTAGACTCTTCGTGTGTTCGGAGGAGGTTGCCAAGCGGCACCTCGGCGCACGGCTTTCCCGTGGGTCGTTTGTCGGGGCGGGCTTCTCCGCGCCGGAGCGCTGAGGCGGGAGGCGTGTGCGCCCCGGAAGCGCCCTGCCGCCTCTCGCGGCTCCGCAGGCTCCACCCCGTGCTGCTGAGTAAAGCGCAAAGCGCGCCCGGGGTCGTGCTTAGGGGCCGGAGACCTTCCAGCCGCGGGTGAGCGGCCGGAGGCCACCCACCATCTTGCTTCGAGTCCTGAAATTCCGCTTCGGGGCGCTCCGGCTGCCTGGCTGTCCTGCCGCCGTTTGTCCCTCGCGAAGCCCCGTTGCTCGCCCGGGAGGCGTGACTAGGGGCTGGAAGCAGGCGGGCCGCGGCGCCGTGGGCCCGGGCTGCCGCTGTCATGGACGCCTGGGTCCGCTTCAGTGCTCAGAGCCAAGCCCGGGAGCGGCTGTGTAGGTGCGGCCGACGGCGGGGCGCGGGCGGGAGGGCGGAGCAGGTCCCCGCGAGGCGGCGGGCGCGCTACGGGGGTCCCTGAGGGTCAGCCGTGGCTACGGGGGCCCGCGCGGCCCCGGGGATCGCACTCTGCAGCCGGTTGTGAGATGATTCTTTTCTGCTCACGGGAGAGATGGGGAAACTGAGGCACGAGCGGGCCAGCGGGGAGGCCGCCCAGGGTTACCGTGTCCACAAAGAGCAACAGTTTCCTCACCTCCCGGGTGGCATGAGGGGCGATCCTCCCGGTTCTGCGTCCTCTAGCTGTCACCTAGGAGCAGCGCTGTCTTGGCTCTCCGGGTTTCCATTCAGTTCAAGGACCTTAATGTCTTAGCTCACCTACCTGGAGGCTGCTTCAACTAGCTCTCCTCCTGTTGAGTTTCATGTATAAATTCGTGTGTGGACGCTGTGATGGACCGCAGCTAGTTACTGGCCCCTGTAGGCCTCATCATTTTCAAAACTCTTACTCCCTTAATTCCAAAGAGTGCTCTCCACCACTCTGTGGGCTTTATTTTCCCTTCATGTTTTTCTCTCCCCTCTGGCCTTGAGGAAAAAAAGGAAAGATATTGGTGTAAAAAAGGAAATGCCCCTGGAGGAGTTTTTGTTTTCAAATTTACCTATTACTTGTCTGAGTGTTTTGTCTGCCAGTATATATGTGCACATGTGTGCCTGGTGCTTGCAGAGGTCAGAAGAGGGTGCTGGAGCCCCCGGGACAGGAGTTACAGGGAGCTGGGAGCCGCCATGTGGGTGCTGGGAATGCAAGCCCGGTCTTCTGCAAGAACAAGTGCTCTCAATCGCCTCACCAGTCCGCGGGAGGACGTGTTAGTCGGAGACCTGCCCGGAGGCCTGGCCCTCACTTTGCCTGTCCTCCCGTCCAGGGCCGCCCAGTATGCCTGTTCTCTTCTTGGCCATGCTTTGCAAAGACACGGGGCCAGTCCCGAGTTACAGAAGCAGATTCGACAGCTGGAGGGCCATCTGAGCCTTGGAAGGAAGTGTAAGTAGTCAAACTTTTCTTTTATCATCCTCATTGCCTCACCTTCCTGTATTTTCCCTTTCGTCATCATTTGGCTCCCTTCTGCATGCCTCCAATTGAGATAAGAGAACGGGCATAAGGAAGTTATCACTGATTGAAGCGAAGGGAGCAAGTAAAAACTAGACATCACAGCAATTAACTTCAATTTGAAGTTTAAAAAAATGAACAAATTATATTTACTCTTTCTTATTGTGTGTTATTGTTGCTGACTCACTTTTTTTCTTTCTTCTCTGCCCCCACCCCTGCCTCTCCACTTCCAATCCATCGCTGTCCCTTATCCTTCTCTGCAAGTGCTACGCCTGGGGAACTCAGCGGACGCCCTCGAGTCAGCCAAAAGAGCTGTGCACCTCTCAGATGTTGTCCTGAGATTCTGCATCACTGTCAGCCACCTCAATCGAGCCTTGTACTTTGCCTGTGACAATGTTCTGTGGGCTGGAAAGTCCGGACTAGCTCCCCGTGTGGACCAGGAAAAGTGGGCGCAGCGTTCATTCAGGTGTGTTTTCACTTTACAAGACTATTTCTAGCCTCTGTTCTGCATAGCAAATATGTATATATGTATGTGTAATATTCAGCATTGTATGTGTATGGGTATTTTGCCTGCATGTGTGTGTGTCTGTGCACCCTCTGTGTGCTCTGGTGCTGCCCGAGGCCAAAAGAGGGCATCAGAATTGGAGTTAGATGGCTGTGAGCCATCATATGGGTTCTAGGACTTAAAACCCAGGTCGTAGGGAAGAGCAGCCAGTGCCTTTAGCCACTAAATCACCATTGCAGCCCCATAGATCTACGTTGTTGTTGTTTTTTTTTTTTTAAGTATTATTGTAGGAGGGGGAGTCTAGCACAGTGCGGGTCTGTAGGTCAGAGGACAGCTTTCCGTGGTTGGCTTTCTTCTACTGTGAGTTCCGGGCGCCAAACTCAGGTCGGGAATAAAAGTCAGACCATCAGGCTGGTGTGGCTTCCACCTTCTGAGCCATCTCTCTGGCCCACAACTTGCTATATTTATGAGACAGGGGTATCTCAGTTGCATTGCATCTGTTGATTCAAGCAAGCATAGACTGAAAATGTTAAGGGAAAATTAAATATGTGGAAAAAAATTGTGTCATTCTTTAAATACTATAGTGTGACACTTCTCGTTGCGTATATATTGTATTAGATATTATAAACAATCTAGAGGTGGCTACAGGGGCTGTGTGCATTCTATAGAAATGCAATCCCATTTTATCTAAGGGAACTTGAGCAGCTGTGGATTTGGGGAGGATTTGGGTGGGTGGGAGGGGCATGATCCTGAAATTAATCCTCCATGGATGCCAGGACTATATATTATTTGTTTATATGTCTGTTTTTGAGACAAGGTCTTACTGTGTAACCCTAGCTGACTCACTATATAGACGGTGCTGTCTTTGAACTCACAGAGATCTACCTAACTGCTTCCAAAATGCTAGAACTAAAGGTGTGCTCCACTGTGCCAGGCCAATTATATCTATCTTAATTGACCATTTGGTTTCCAATCTTCATTTACATCTTAAACCATAAAAGGGTAACAGTATCAGATGGTAATTGTATTTGCTATACTATAATAACTGACTAAGATGATAAATGTTGGCGGTGATAAATATTATATCACTTTTATTATAACTAAGCCATAGATAGTCCACCCTGATTGCCCTCCTACTCACTTATTCTATTTTCCTTTAAAAAAATTTTTATATATTATTTTATGTGTGTGTGTGTGTGTGTGTGTGTGTGTGTGCGCGCGCACGAGGTCGGGGGAGTTGGCATTGCCACACTGTGCATGGAGGTCGGTTTGCAAGCCTGGTTCTCTCCTTCCACAACGTGGATCTCAAGATTGGACTCAAGTCATCACATTGGATGACAGCTGCCTTTACCCTGCTGAGTCATCTTGTGTGCTGTTGTTGCTTTGTTTGTTTGTTTTGAGATAGGTCTCACTACATAGCCCAGTATAGCCTTAAACTTAGAATTATCCTGCTTTAGACACTTCACTTCTAGGATAGGTTTACAGGCAGGTGATAGCATGTCTATTTTTTTTTTTTTTAATGATACGAAGTCTCCTAGGGCTGAGATAGCACAGTTCTACAAGCATGAAGACCTGAGTTTGATCCCAGAACCCACCTGTAAAAAACAGGCATGGTGACACATTCTTGTAAACCTAGCAATGTGGAGGTTAAACAGGAGGGCTCCTAAGGCTCTCTGGCCAGCCACCTGGGACAGTGAGCAAGTTCCAGGCCTAGTGAGAACTCTTGTCTCAAAACCAAGGTGGACAGCACCTGAGGAGTGACCCCAAGGCTGGACTCCAGGCTCCACATGCACACATGTGCACCCCAACACGGGAAAGACACGGGGGTCTTGCTGCTTGCTCAGGGTGGTCCAGACAATCCTCCCACCTCAGCCGCCCAAGTGTCTGGGACTCCGTGCACCACTGCCACTGTGCTTGCATTTTCCAAAAACATTTCTTAGTTTGTTACTCTGGGCCAGGAGAGTAGGAAAAAGCCAAACAAATGTGGTGCCTGACCCTTGAAACTTAAAGTTCAGAATGATGCAGGGAGTCAAGGCAAGCAAACCTGAGTTCGATCCCTGGAGCTCAGGTAAAGGTGGAAGGAGAGAACCAACCCACAAAGTTTTTCTTTGATTTTAATATGTACACCATTGCTCTTGTATAAAACAAATAAATGTAAAAGGAGAAAAGGAAGCAGGGCTCATTACAGTGTGATAAGGGAGCCAGTTATTAAAACAAACAATTAGACCAGTGAAATGGTTGGAGAGCCTATGACAGAAGGAGAGAATTGGGACACAGCCTCCACACATGCACGATGGCAGACATATGCCCACGCGCACACACGACATTTTAAAGAACTGAAGTGGGTCTAGAGAAATGACTCAGTGGTTAAGAACACTGGCTGCTCTTCCAAAGGAAATGGGTTCGATTCCCAGCACCCACATGACAGCTCAGAACCATGTATAACTCCAGTTCCAGGGGAATCTGATGCCCTCTTCCGGCCTCCACAGGCACTGCATTCGCGTGTTCACAGAAATACATTCTGGCAAAATGACGATACACACGAAATAAAGAACTCTTAAAAAAACCCTAAAACTAAAACCAATCACCACTCACAACAAACAGCAAGCTCCAGGTAGACCCCGTCTACAGAGACAAGGTGGCAGGACCAAGAGCAGGGCTGGAGGCTGTCCGTTGGTCTCTCAGACACATACGTATGCACCTGCCCACACTTTTGCCTACACACACACGCGCACACACAGAGCCACAAAAACAAGAACAAAGCCCCATAGGCTTTTGTATTTAAATTTTAGCTAATATAAGCCTGTTTATGAGAAGGTTCATGCAGGATTGAGAATTCACAGGCAGCCCGGACTACACAGTGAAACAAATTCTGTCTCAAAAAAAAAAAAAGTAAAAGATTTTGCACTGGAACAAGTGTGGTGACGCACGCGTTTGATTCCGGCACTTGGAGGCAGGGGCAGGGGGATCTCCTGAGTTTGAGGTGTGTATGCCTAGTCTACACAGGGAGGTCCATGTCAGCCAGTGCTCCGGAGCGAGACTGTCTCCAAGATGAAACAAAACGAAACAGAAAAGCAGAAATTTTTGTGCTTAAGGAATTGATAGTCTAATATTTCTAGCAATCACTTAATAGTTCTGGACCTTTTTCGTGGAGGTCTTTGACTTTTTTCCTTAAAGTTTGTCTTTAAATGCTCTCAAGTGTGTATAAATAGTTTTTTCTGCCTTTCTTGGGACAGGGGCTCATGTAGCGCAGGCTGCCCTGTAACTCTAAGTGTTAGAATTACAAACATGCCCGGACGCTTCAGCCTGTGTCTCTCTCTCTGTGGGTTTTTGAAACAGCTTTCTCTGTGTAGCCCTGGCTGTCCTGGAACTCATTCTGTGTAACTAACTTTTTTTTTTTCTTTCAAAATAGTTTGCATTCTTAAGGTCAAGCAAGTTAAGTGTGTTTTTCCTGTGTGTGTACGTGTGTGTGTATTCACAAGTGTGTGCAAAATACCTGGGCACATGTATGCATCCAGGGTTTGCTTTGGAAGCCTCCGTCTGTCCTTCTCCACCGTAGTCCCTGACGCCTGGTCTTTCGGTTGAACCCAGAGCTCACTTGCACAATGGACGCCTGACTAGCCATCTTGTTCTGGGAGATTCCCTGTCTTCATGTCTGTCAGCATTGATACAGGTTCTGTGGACCTGAACTTGGGTCCTCACTCATGCAAGCACCGGACCACTGCCATTTCTGCAGCTCAGAGTGTGCTGCGTTATATGGATTGTCTCAGAAATGAAATTTGAAGTTGCTCTTGGCGGAGTCTAAGGTGCACATAAACACAGACAATGATAGAACAGGAGGAGGGTTCTTTTTTCTGTATCATTTTCTGGGGCATAATCATATGTATTTGAGCGCCCACACGGCAGCTCACAGCCACCTGTAACTCCTGTTCCAGGGGACCTGCCGTCCTCTTCTGGCCTTCACATGGTGCACAGACATACATGCAGGCAAAGCACCCACATACCCAAAATAAATAATTTTAAAATGCTCGTGGTGAGATCTTTCGTGTGATAAGAACACCTGAGCTGAAAGCAACCCGCTTAGCAAATTAGCTGTATTATTTATTTTACATATGAGTGCTTTGCTGCATGACAGAAGAGAGCATTAGATCTTTAATAGATGGTCGTGAGCCACCATGTAGGTACTGGGAATTGAACTCGGGACCTCTGGAAGAACAGCCACTGTTCTTAACTGCTGAGCCATCTTTCCAGCCCGATACAGTTATATTAACTGAGGTCACCATGCTGTATGTTAGATGGACAGACCTATTTATTTTGCAGAACTGAATGTTTGTCTCATTGGCTAACATCTTTCTGTTTCTCATCTCCTCCAATCCTAGCGACCACCGTTCCATTCTGTACCTTGATGATTTAATATAAGTGAGATCATACGTCTTTCTGTATGAGATTTATTGAACCTAGTGTATTGTCCTCAAGGAAGGACAGCTCTGTTTTGGTGTTGCTGATACTGGACTTGATTGGGACTCATGCATGCAAAGCAAATACCCGTGTGTGTGTGTGTGTGTGTGTGTGTGTGTGTATGTGTGTGTGTGTGTGTGTATCCCTGGCTGTCCTGGAACTCACTCTGTAGACCAGGCTGGCCTTGAACTCGGAGATCCACCTGCCTCTGCCTCCTGAGTGCTGGGATTACAGGTGTGCAGCGCCACTGCCCAGCCTGCAGGACGTATTTTTTAACTTAAAAAAAAGTATGTATGTGGGTGCCATGGTGTATCTGTGGATTTCAGAGGACAACTTAGGGAAGTCAGTTTTAGCCTCCATGGGGGTGCTGGGGATTGAACTTAGATCTTCAGCCTTGGTGGCAAGTGCCTTTACCCACTAGGCTGTCTCATCAGTCCCAGCGTGAGCATTTCTAGTTATAGCACTCATTTCTGATGTTCTAATATGGAGTCCCTCTGCGGTACATGAAAAAGGTGTTTACATTTGTGCAGGATATCTTGGGTAGGTATTTCTGCCTTTTCTAACTTGTGTATCTGCCCTGTGTGTCTCAGGTACTATTTGTTCTCCCTCATCATGAATCTGAGCCGCGATGCTTATGAGATTCGCCTGTTGATGGAGCAAGAGACTTCAGCTTATAGCCGGCGAATGAAGGTCTCTGGAGTAGGAGTCTCAGGAGGAGTTGAGCCTGGGGGACTTGGGGCACCAGGGCCTCCAGGAGGGTGCCTGCCACAGCTGGTTCTGAAGTTTCGACTCCGAATCCTGCTACTGGCTCGTGTCCTTCGAGGTCACCCCCCTCTTCTGCTGGACGTGCTCAGAAATGCGTGTGACCTCTTCATCCCGCTGGACAAGCTAGGCCTCTGGCGTTGTGGCCCTGGGGTTGTGGGGCTGTGTGGCCTCATTTCCTCCATTCTGTCTATTCTCACCCTAATCTGTCCCTGGCTAAGACTCAAGCCCTGACACTATGTACAGGATAGGGAAGGGAGCCTGAGCTGGTGAGATGGGATCTTAGAGTGTCCCTATATGCCAGCCTCATTCCAAGCTGACTCCCTGACTGAAGTTAAGATCCAGATACTTAGGGACAAAGGGAAGAGCCTTGCCAAAGACGAGACAAGGTCAGGAAGGTGATGCTACATTGCCAGAATCTTTTTGCTATCTTCCCTTTATCTGTCTTGAGTCTGGTTAGGAATTTGTCACCATGCGACAGAATTGTCTTTCTGAATCCCCTGTCTAGATTCTGAAGAGGAGAATTATTTTTTTGGTAGGGGAGTGTAAGCTTTGGGTGGTAGAGCATATTCTTTCTTTTCCAAAGCAGAATGTAGCATCGTTTCCTCCTTCACACACCATAATTTTCAAGGCTTAATTTCACGTCCCAACAAGCTCTTTCTTCACATCTCCCCAGCACAGGCTGTTTGACGATCCTTCCCGTGTCCACCTCCCCTGACTCCCTCCTGACTTAGCACTGACTCTTCTCTGTCCTCCACGCCTTTCAGCTTCTGCTTACACTTTGATATTAGAATTTCCTCCTCCCCTGGCTCTTGCCCTTTCTTTAGCTCTCCATACTGATGCTATATCTAGCCTCGTGCTGTAAATACTGTACAATGGCTCCGTGTGAATAACTGTGGTCTGTGCCCACAGTGCAAGCAAGCCTACCGGGACGACAAATTGAAGATCAGTTTGCTGACTGACTTATTTATTCAGTTTCAAGATGGGGGTCTCACTAAGTTACCTAGGTTGGCCTGAAACTCTTGACTTCTGCCTCAGACTACTGAGTAGCTAAAAAACAGATGTGTGCCACTCCATCCAGCTGTTCATTGACATCTGGTCTGGTCTTTTCATGTTCTGGTCATTTTCAGCTTTAGTTCCTGTGACTGTGGATGGGTTTCTGTAGCACTGGCAGCTAATGCTGTTAGTTACTCTTAGGTTTTTACCCAGAAGCTTAAGTTTGAGGGAAAGTAGGTAGTGGACATACGAAAGAAGTGAGATGCTTCTCCCATTCTTTTTTTTTTTTTTTTTTTTTTAACAATTTATTCACTTCATATCTTGGTTGTAGGCCCCTCCTCATCTCCTCCTGGTCCCACCCTTCCTCCCTCTTCTCCTCCCCCCATCCCACTCCCCTAGTCCATAGAAAGGGGGCACAGTGCTCCTCTACTGTCTGACCCTAGCCTATCAAGTCCCATCAAGACTGCCTTGATCCTCTTCCTCTTTGGCCTGACAAGGTTGCCCTGCCAGGGGGATGTGCTCAAATAGCAGGCAACTGAGTTCATGTCAGACAGCCTCTGCTCCCTGGTCCTTGATTGATGCATCAGTCTCTGCTGACCCCTTGGCCCGGATTTGTTGGCTTTGTTGGTCTTCTTTGTGGCACTCCTGTCCCCTCCCTGCCCTCCTATACCCCACTTCTTCCATAAGATGCCCTGTGCTCTGTCCAGCTTTTACCATTCTTGAGACATTTATAGCCTCAAGCTGAAGGAGGGGTGGTCTAAACCAAGACAATTATATTGACACTAAAAAGCACGCCTGTTGAAAAAGGCTCTCTGGGAGCTATTCAGCACACACACGCATGATCAGAACTCAATGGGCTGGCAAGCACAGTAGGACCACCCTCACACCAGGCACGAAAGTGCCGCTGTCGCCACTGTCAGCTCTTATTTTGCATTTGCCAGGTTGATAGTAATAAGTTAAAAAAATGTCTGTAGCCTCTACTTTCTGTTCTAAAATGGAGTAAATCATTGGACAAATAAACAGTGGAAAAAACAGCCCCAGAAAGGGTCACATTTTGTGTTCTCTGCATATTAGATGAGGCCTCCAGGGGGCAGCACCAAGGTGGAGAAGACTAAGGTTGCTCTGTCCTCTTGGTCTGGGGCTCCTCACAGTTCCCTACCGCCACCCCTCCCATTCCGTCCAACTTTATTTTTAGCTGCCAGTGGGAGGGGGCAGGATAGGAGGGAAAGTAAAGAAAACAGCAAAGGAGAGGGGCAGAGAGGCACAGAGGGCTTCTCCGACAGGACGGGACAGGCAGCATGGCGCCCCTCTCTTCCCATCACCTGCTCTTGCCGCTGGCAATGTTGACAGGTGAGGAAAGTGAACTTGGTTTCTGGCGGGAATGGAAGATTACTGGATTGTTTAGAATTGGGACCATTACGGTTCAAATTCTTCGCGTCAGAGGTTAATACAGACGCCCTATTTCACGTGCGCGCTGGTATTAGACTCCCAAAGGTGGGGGCTGGAGCTGCCGAGGGCTTGAGTGAGACTTGTACCTAATATCTAAAAGCTTTGCCCTAAACTCCGTAGGGTTTAGGGTCCAGGAAAGAAACACATTTCTCATTTGCCATGCAGCTGGTTTGGCTCCCACTTTTGACCTCCGTGCCTCTCCACCACTGGGGCGCCTTGATGCCTGGGGCACAGTTGCCTGACTATGTGGTCAGAACTCTGGGATCAGCTGACGAGTGAGCTACAGCTCCTGGTCTCATAACCTTGCTAGTTTCCTGGATGCAAAAAGGCTCACATTAAGCAACCTTTCTGAAAGTGAGCACAGTTTGAGTTGGAGTAACAGATATAGGAGGGGGGGATGCTAAGAGAGGATTGCTTGAATGTAAGGAGCAAGACAGTGGAGAAGAGAATCATGGGAGGGACAAGAGTCTTGGAATTTTTCCCCCGCTAGTGCCCTATAATCATTGTTTCCTAAAATACCAGCTCTGATTTTATGGGAATTGGTGTCAGAAGAAAGAAATCAGCGGGACACAGCTGGGGACCCTTTGGTGGGCTAAAGTTTGAGGAAACTATGGGAGTAGGCAGGGGGATTGGGGGGTGGGTGAGATAAGGAGCACATTGTGGGGGTAGCCCTGAGTGTGGTAGGACCCTTGACGAGGATAGATGGCAAACTATGTGTGTGGGCCGGCCAGGGGTTCCACCCAGTTAATTAGCACCGAGGTTTGCAGGGCTGGAAGCAACCAGCGTCCTAGACCTTGGAGAAAGAGTGCAAGTGTGACAATGTCAAGACGGGACGGAAAGAGGAGGCACCCAGACCCGGAGCTCCTTGCCCTCCTCTCCTCCCCACGGCCCTGGGTCTGGGAGGAATTTGGGAGGGGCTGTTACTCTGCGTCTGCAGAAAGGCCTTCTCCCTCTTTTGACTCTCGTGGCTTAGGAGGATGTGTAGGAGGATGATGTGGCAGGAGTAACTTGACCTTTCCAGATGTGTCTGTGAAGGAGATTTCAGGAGTGAGAACAGAAACCCAGCTGTGCTGCAGCATGGCAGAGGGCCTTAGGACCCCCACGCAGGAAGAGAATCATCGAGTCATCCCACCTGGGGCTCTGAGTACATGACATGGACACAGGCCAGGAGAGCTTCTCAGTAATCAGGCAGACACACTGAGGTGGAGACACCTCCGCGTTTTGTCCCTGGCTATGCCTCTCCAGTCCCTCATTAACTGATTTGTTGATGCTAATTATGATCCTGGACCCCCCCCCCCCCCCCCAGGTCTCTGCTCCCCCTTTAATGTGGACGAGCATCACCCACGCCTGTTCACAGGGCCACCAGAGGCCGAATTTGGATACAGTGTCTTACAGCATGTTGTGGGCGGACGGCGATGGTGAGAAGCGAACCGGAGTACCGTGGGATTAGGACCGTGGGATTGGGACTGCGATAGCACCGATAAAGGGGAGGCAAGACAGATGGGCCTCCAAGCTGGGCTTTGGAAGTGCCGGGGGCTCTAAACTTGCCACCTTGTTTCTATCCGTATTCCCCTCCCAGGATGCTGGTGGGCGCCCCCTGGGATGGGCCTTCAGGTGACCGGAGGGGGGATGTTTATCGCTGCCCTATAGGGGGATCCCACAATACTCCATGTGCCAAGGGCCACCTGGGTAAGAAGATGCCTGACTCCTCCCCTGCTAATCCCTGATTTTGACCCCCTGTAACTCTGACCCCTTGTACATCAGCTTCTTTGGCCCCCAAACTTATACAGACCTTGTCTTCAACTTGATACCGATTCCAAACTACCCTGACCCAAAGCACCTGACCTATGACCTGATGACTTCATTCTCTTCTACCCCTCCTCCATCCAGGTGACCACCAACTGGGAAATTCCTCTCAGCCTGCCCTGAATATGCACCTGGGGATGTCTCTGCTAGAGACAGGTGGTGATGGGGGATTCATGGTGAGCGAAAGGAAGGGTCTCAAGGATTCATGGCGTGGCAGGGAAAACAGCATTGTGGTGTCTGGGCACTGGCAGTGTGTGCTTCTAATCCCAGCATTCTGGAGGCAGATACGGGGTGGGGGGGTTCTGAGTTCGAGGCCAGCCTGGTCTACAGAGAGAGTTCCAAGACAGTCCAGGGTATGCAGAGAAACCTTGTCTCAAAATACAAAACCCAAATCTAACTAACCAAACAACAACAGTGCATTATGGTATGGAAAATTAGTCTATAGCGAAGAGACAAGGAGCTCAACAGCCCTAGAGAACATGACAGGGTACCCCGTGGAGTGGTCTCAGTGTCTCTTTTAACCAGCTGTATGTTCTGAGGGCCCCTCTCAAGTGCCTCTCTCCCCCACCCACCCAGGCCTGTGCCCCTCTCTGGTCTCGCGCCTGTGGCAGCTCTGTCTTCAGTTCTGGAATCTGTGCCCATGTGGATGCTTCATTCCGGCCCCGGGGAAGCCTGGCACCCACCACCCAACGTGAGCCAGCGGAAGGGCCTGAGGAGGGCCCCAGTTCCTAGACAGGGATGCCGGGTGGGACACGTGGGACAGAAGACTCGGCAGAGGGTCTGCATGGCCAACCACGTCCTTCCCCGTTGTGCTTGCCCAAGAGTCTCCTGTTCACTGACAGACTCCTTCCCAGAGCTTCAGGGTCTGGTTTAACCAACTTAAAAGCCCCAGTTTATTCTCAGCACAGCCTGTGCCTCAGCTGTCACACTTATTGTGTTAATTGTTACTCTAGGAGTCATTTACTTTTGGACATTTACCCCCCCCCCCCTTTTTCTATTTCAATGTTCTCTATGCCAGAGCATTTTCTCAGAGTCCTCAATAGCTCACTCTTACGATGCCAAGCGAGTACTCAGTTACTGAAATCTCCCCTCGTGCTGTACATACACCTTCTTATTTGCTGCCTTCTTGGAGATAGGCTAATGTAGCCCAGGCTGCCCTTGAACTTGGAAATCTGCCTGCCTCTGCTTCTCAAGTACTGGGATAATAAACATGTACTCTCATGTACCAGCCTTTGCTGGTCATGCTCCTCAGTGGCACATGGGTAGAGCATGAGTGGAGGCCTTGGTTCAAGCCCTACACACACATACACACGAAAGTGACACTCAGTCTGCCGCAGCATGGAGTAGCGGTAGCCTTCTGCCTAGAGCATATTTCGTTCTTCACACCTGCCCATCTCTTCTTTCATCCATTTCTACGCTTGGTTCCTGGCAAAATCCTCTCCTTGTGTGTCAGTGAGAAGTCCCTAGGGAACGCTTGCACTGGAGCATCCTCCAGTGGCGTTTCCCTTTGTTGACCCCACCCAGCATCCTTGCACGGCTTTGTTTCCATTACCGTACCCCCCCTTCTAGGCTGTCCTACCTACATGGATGTTGTCATTGTCCTGGACGGCTCCAATAGTATCTATCCCTGGTCAGAAGTTCAGACTTTCCTTCGGAGGCTGGTAGGGAGGCTGTTTATCGATCCGGAGCAGATACAGGTAAGAGGACCACGCATGGACGGGCTTGGAGGGACAGAGATAAACACTTGTGCCCCCTTCCGTGTAGTCAGGCATGTCCAGCCTCTTGACATCACACCAGGACATTGTCTTCTACAGAACTCATGCTCCAGAACCATGCAATTAAGTTACCAAAACGTCACCAAAACAAAACAAACAAAGACCTCACGATGTTTGAAGGAAGGGTATAGTTCTGTGTGGGCCACCCTCCTGGCTCTGCTTTGCTGCATGCAGTTACTCGAGGCCCACAGCTGCAGGCATGACAAAGCCGTTCGGCGTCCATCTCCCTCCATCGTCCTGTCCTCCGTCTTCCTCACCCTCTTCATACATCCCATTTGGGTACGTGGTTTATTACCCTCAGGTAGGGCTGGTTCAGTACGGGGAGAGCCCTGTGCACGAGTGGTCCCTGGGAGACTTCCGAACGAAGGAGGAAGTTGTGAGAGCAGCGAGGAACCTGAGCCGGCGGGAAGGGCGAGAAACGAGGACTGCCCAGGCAGTCATGGTGGCGTGGTGAGGCATGGCGGAGGAGGTGCGGGGGGGGGGGGATGAAGGTCGGCGGGGCTCTGGAGAGGGCCCGGTGGGCAGTGTGCGCACCTTTAGCTGCGCGCCAGAAGCTCACTCGGGAAGGCTAGCTTGGCCGTCGCTGCGCTCCTCTGTATTTTACAGCGTCTGTGGGGGGCCCCTCTGCTTTGTTTCTGCATACAGAACCCCATCTCTTCTCCCCTCCTCCTGTGTCGGTTCTGATCCTGAGCTTCTCAGTCGCTTGTGTCAGGCATGATGCTAAACTAATCTCTGGGGAGACCTGACTAGCCTTTATCCTCCATTCCCTCCATCTCATCAACCCAAATGCAGTGTTTGCTGAATGAATCTATGAATGAATAGAGCTTGTACTTAGTTACCCTGACGATGGGGTCTGTATGTTCTGTGCCAGTCTGCATGTGAGACAGGGGAACAGCCTAAAACGCTGCTGACAGTGTTAAATACACAGTGTACACACACACACACACACACACACACACACACACACGTGACTGTTTCTCATTCTTTTCTTTCTCTTCTTAGCACAGAAGGGTTCAGTCAGTCCCGGGGTGGCAGGCCGGAGGCCGCCAGGCTGCTGGTGGTTGTGACTGACGGAGAGTCCCACGATGGAGAGGAGCTCCCAGCGGCGCTAAAGGCCTGCGAGGCTGGAAGAGTGACGCGTTACGGGATTGCGGTGAGTCTCGAGTCTGGTGTCTGGTGTTACATCATGTGTGTGTGTTTGCAGGCTGTGTGTGCGTGCATGGGTGTACACACCATGGGGTCTGTCTGCAGGTCAGAGAACAACCTTAGATGTTGGTCCTCGTCTTCCATCTTGCTCGAGACTGGATATCTTGTTCACTGCTGCATACAATAAGCCAGGAGTCTGGGGGTTTCCGTTGCTGTGAAGAGACAACTCTTCTAAAGGAAAACATCTAATTGGAGCTGGCTTACAGTTTTAGAGGCTTAGCCCATGACAACATACAGGCAGAAGACATGGTGCTGGGGAAAGAGCTGAGAGTTCTCAGGCCAAACAGACTATCACGCTGGGTGTACCTTGAACATATATGAGGCCTCAAAGCCTACACAGTGATGTACTTCCTCCAACAAGGCCACACCTCCTAATATCGTCTCAGGGCTATGGGCCAAGCGGTCAAACCCTTGAGTTTATGGGGGCCATTTCTTCTCCAAATCACCACACCAGGCTAGCTGGCCCACAAGCTCTGGGCGAGTCTTCTGTCTCAGCCTCCTGTCTCTTCGTAGGGGCATGCTGGGATTACAGATAAACTTGTGCTAATGTGTCCAGCATTGTATGTGGATCTGAGGATTCGAACTCAGGCTGTCAGGCTTGCTTGGTACGCACCTGACTCACTGAGTCATCCTTCCAGACCAAGAACTGACTCTGGCTCTAGAAAGACTGGTGGAGAAAGGTTTTCAGGTTGTGAAACAGAGAAAAGAGTAGTAACTACTGCCTGGACTTCATTCTTCTTCTTCCTTTGCTTGAGCTGGCTGTGATCTCTATCAGTTCCAACCCTCACTTCACACAGCTGATGGGCCCCCGTCCTGAACTCAGGTCCTAGGTCACTATCTCCGGCGACAGAGAGACCCCAGCTCTTTTCTTCGGGAAATCAGAGAGATCGCTAGTGACCCTGATGAGCGATTCTTCTTTAATGTCACCGATGAGGCTGCACTCACAGACATCGTAGATGCGTTGGGAGACCGAATCTTTGGTCTTGAAGGTAATGAGTATCCCGGCGAAATGGAAGACTGGGTTGGGGGCGTTCTAGAGTGAGTTTGGTAGAGCGAGCTCCCCTGATAGCGCCTCGCAATTTTCTTGCACCCAAGGGTCCCACGGAGAAAATGAAAGCTCCTTTGGGCTAGAAATGTCTGAGATTGGCTTCTCCACCCACCGGCTACAGGTTGGCCAGACCCTGACCCTCCACAACGTCCACTAGCTCTCCCATCTCTTCATAATCCTCTCCTGCATGAGTCAGGCCCTTCTCGATCTCTCCTTTACCCAGCCCGCAGCCTGACCTCCATGCTCTTCTGGCCAAGCGCACCCTCAGTGCGCATCTTACTGCCCGAGAGTTCATCTCCCCTCACCTCCCACCACCCCGCTCCCGCTGTCTTCTCAGTGTGCTCATTTGCTTCTGCTCTTCAGGATGGGATTCTCTTTGGGATGGTAGGGGCCTATGACTGGGGGGGCTCGGTGCTATGGCTTGAAGAAGGTCGTCGCCTTTTCCCCCCACGAACTGCCCTGGAAGATGAGTTTCCCCCTGCACTGCAGAACCACGCAGCCTACCTGGGTGAGTAAGCGGGAGCTGCAGGGGACCGGGAGAGTGTCGGGGGGGCGGGGAGGGGGGACCCGGACCCAGGAGTGGGTCTGAGGCACTCCCTCTCAACTCTCGCCATCCCCTTAAATCTCTAGGGGCCTCACCTGCCTCGTGCCTTTAGCAAGCCCTCCACTCTGGCCTCGTCTTGTTTCCTTTTACATCTGAGCCTACTCACTTCAGGTTACTCAGTCTCCTCCATGCTTCTGCCCGGTGGGCACCGCCTCTTCCTCTCCGGGGCACCGAGGTTTAGACATCGAGGAAAAGTTATCGCCTTCCAGCTAAAGAGAGATGGGGTTGTGAGGGTCGCCCAGAGCCTCCAGGGGGAGCAGGTAGGACATCAAGGGAGGTTGGGACCTTTGGACCCCCAGGGCCTTCCAGGCTGGAGGAGGAGAGTGAGAAGGGGAAGGAGGGCTAGAAAGGCCGCGGTGAACTCTGGGAGCAGCCTGTCAGGGACGTCAGGACCACACTGGCAGACTGGTAAGTGCTGCCAGCTGAGTCCAGCTGTCCACGATCACCTTCGGTCTTCTTTGGGTCGCCACCACCCGCCCATCCCAGATTGGCTCATACTTCGGCAGCGAGCTCTGCCCATTGGATACAGACAGGGACGGAATAACTGACGTCTTGCTTGTGGCGGCTCCCATGTTCCTGGGTCCCCAGAACAAGGAGACCGGGCGTGTTTATGTGTATGCGGTGGGCCAGGTAAGACTCGGCCGGGGCCCCTAGCATGCGTGTGGGGCGATGGTGGAAGGAAGGGAAGAAGGAGACACACGGATGTGAGATCGCTGAACGGTGAGGGTCACAGATAAGCGATCCCTTTTCTGTCTTCTCCACGACCAGCACATTTTGCTGATGCTCCAAGGAACCCTTCAGCCAGAACGTTCCCAGGATTCTCGGTTTGGCTTTGCCATGGCCGCTCTCCCTGATCTGAACCACGACGGTTTTGCCGATGTAGCAGTTGGGGCGCCCCTAGAGGATGGGCACCAGGGAGCCCTGTACCTGTATCATGGCGCCCAGGCTGGAGTCAGGTCACACCCTACCCAGGTTAGCAGCGCTGGCAGGAAAAATCGGTGTCGTGGCACAAGCCTTTCATCCCAGAAGGTGGGTCTCTGAGTTCAAGGCCAAGCTGGTCTTCAGGACAACATGGTGCGATGCTGTCTCAAAAACAAGATAAAAACACAGAACTGAAAATGGGAGGAAGGCAAGGACGTTGTGTTCTTTGCCTTTTTTTTATCCTCTGCTTGGCTTAAGATTCAAGCCAAACAAATGCCTGAATTCACCGGCTGGAACGTGAGATAGTGAATGAGGGATCCTTGAGACAGGCAAACTTTTCGTAGTCTCTTGATGAATGGGGATGTTAGACAGGACCTGGCAGGGGGACAGAAAAGCGAGCTGCTCGGTCGCTTCTCTCTTCTTCCCAGCGGGTTGCTGCGGCCTCCATGCCACAGGCCCTCCGCTACTTTGGCCGAAGCGTGGATGGCCGGTTGGATCTGGACGGAGATGATCTTGTGGATATTGCCGTGGGCGCCCACGGGGCAGCCATCCTGCTCAGGTGAGGAGTCCAGCTAGGGTAGCCGTGGGCAGCAGAGCGCAGCTTACAAGGACAAATCACAGATTTAGATTTGGGTTTCTTAGTCAACTAATCTGATGCCTGAATTCCTAGTTCATAGGTTGAAAATAACTGTCACAGCCTTACGGGCTTATTGTCAATTTCAGGCAAGACAGTTCATGTGAGGACCTTTGACAGTGCGTATTCATTTTTATTTTATGTGTATTTTTGGGTGTTTTGCCCGGATGTCTGTGCGCTGTGTGGGTGCAGTGCCTGCGGAGGCCAGAAGAGGGCGGAAGAGCCCCTGAAACTGGGGTTTTACAGCTGTTTTTGAGTTGCCGTGTGGGTGCTGGGAATCAAACCCAAGTTCTCCGGAAGAACAGCCAGTGCTCAGCAGCTGAGCGTATATCTACCCTGACGTTAGTGTTTCTTGACCTGAATGTTATTATTATGTGACTTCTGTCATGGACTTCTGGGAAGGGTGACACATTCAGACCAATTTTTTTTTTTTTTTTTACATTTTAAAAATTAATTAATTGATTGATTGATTTTTTTTTGCTTAATCGTGGGGGGGGTAAGTACTAAGGTTGCAATTTTTACCTTTATCTTTTCTTCTGAAGCGCAAGTCAGGATCCAGAGCTCTACCACTGAGCTCCACCCCCTGCCTGGGCTGTATTTGGGGAAGGAACTTACCTGCTCCTTTTAGACTTTCTTTCCCGCCTTGTCCTAGCTCCCAGCCCATCGTCCACTTGGTTCCAGCCCTGGACGTGATGCCACCACACATCAGCGTGGTTCAGAAGGACTGTAGGCGAAGAGGCCAGGAGGCAGCCTGCCTAACCGCAACCCTCTGCTTCCAAGTGACCTCCCACACTCCCGGCCGCTGGGATCGCAGGTTCAGTGAGTGACTACTGAAGATGGCTCTCAAGCCCTGGCCCCCGGGGTGTCTGCGTCTGCCCCCAACCCTCACGCTTGTCTCTCCCGCTCAGACATGCACTTCTCAGCAACGCTGGATGAGTGGACGGCTGCAGCACGTGCAGCGTTTGACGGCTCTGGCCAGCGGCTGTCCCCTCGGCAGCTCCAGCTCAGTGTGGGCGATGTCACCTGCGAGCAGCTGCACTTCCATGTGCTGGTGAGGACGGGGTAGGAACGGCTTGGCACTGAGCCCGAGAGTGAGGAAAAGCCAGGGTTCTGGGGGAATTTTAGCCAGATCAGTTACAAAACTGCAGCAGAGAGATTGAGACAATTCAGATTGGGGGGCGGGGGTGGGGGAGCGTCAGGATGATACGGGTTGGAACCCTAGTCCTATAATTTGTCGCTGTGAACTCTGCCAAGTCACGTAGCTGCCGCATCTCAGCAGCCTGGTCTAAACAGAGATGACATATATACTGATAACTACATCACAGGAGGTGTCTTTGAGTTACATGAAGACCTTACGACAATGCCCAGGACATAGAAAATGCTTCGCAGACAATCATACTAAACATGTTCTGCAGAGGCCTGGCTTCTACTCCAGTTCCGGTTCCCACAGACTGCCCTTTCCTCTGCTTCCCTTCAGGACACGTCGGACTACCTCCGGCCGGTGGCCTTGACTGTGACTTTTGACTTGGACAACACCACAAAGGCAGGGCCTGTGCTGGATGAGGGGTCACCCACGCTCATACGAAAACTGGTTAGCAGTGCTGCACCCCGCTCTGTCTGGGGTCCCAGTGCCCTCCCAGCGAACTTAAGAGCAAGGAGCGGTCACGTACAAATGATGAAATATGATCCAGCCTCTGATGGTCAAAACCAGCCTCTCTTCTCTTCACTTTCCCCCATTTCAGTCCCTCCTCCTCCTCGCCTTTCCCCCAGCCCTCCGACCCTTAATTCTCTTCTAGGTCCCCTTCTCAAAAGACTGTGGCCCCGACAATGAATGTATTGCGGACCTGGTGCTTCAAGCTGATATGGACATCAAAGGCTCCAGGTTAGATGGAGATGAACTGGGCAACCCATGAGGGACTCAAAGGGAGCCAGAGAGATATTTTGTTTTGAGTCAGGTTTTCCCTATGTAGCCCCGGCTGGCCTGCTTCTGCCTCCCAAGTGCTGGGATTAAAAGCATGTACCACCAGCCAGGTGCGGTGGCACGAGCTTGTAATCACAGCACTTTAGAGGCAGGCAGAGGCAGGTGAATCAGAGGCAGGTGGACCTCTGTGAGTTCAAGGCCAGCCTGGTCTACAAAGCAAGTCCAGGACAGCCAGGGCTACACAGAGAAACCCTGTCTCAAAACACAAAACAAACAAACAAACAACAATGCGGCACCATGTTGAAGGGAGACGTTTACCTCTTAGTCTTTCCTTTGTCTCCTGCTCTTAGGAAGTCCCCGTTTGTAGTTCGAGGTGGCCGGCAGAAGCTGCTGGTGTCAGCAACCCTGGAGAACAGGAAGGAGAATGCCTACAACACTAGCCTGAACCTCAGCTTCTCTAGAAACCTCCACCTGGCCAGCCTCACTCCTCAGGTACCCTTGGAGGAAGAAAGGAGGAGGACGCTCGGGATATTAGCTGTGGGGTGCTCCAGAGAAGGTGTGGAGAGTCTGTGGGGGCGGAGCAGACCCAGCCCCGGCTCTGACTGCAACCTCCATTCCTCTGCCTGCAGAGGGCCAAGTCCGTGAAGGTGGAGTGTGCAGTCCCTTCCCCGCACGCCAGGGTGTGCACTGTGGGGCACCCAGTCTTCCAGGCTGGGGCCAAGGTGAGTTTGGGCCCAGAATGAGGAAAAGGTGCTGGGAAAGCAGGGCCATGGGAGTTCTGGGCAGTAGACATGGGTTCTTGTTCGTCTGTGCTTTTTCCACGAGGAAAAATTTATTATTGTCCCATCCCCGTCCCTTGTCCCCAGGTGGCCTTTCTGTTAGAGTTTGAATTTAGCTGTACCTTCCTCCTGAACCAGGTCTTCGTGAGGCTGACTGCCAGCAGGTGAGAGCAAAGGAGGTCGCCCTCCGCCTCGTCCCCTTTCTACCCCTTTGGGGCTCTTGACTGAAAGTCAGAGAAGTGGGTGGTTGGGGGAAGCTACCCTGATTTCTTTAGTAGCAAGAGGCTCCTACAAGAGGGACTGCAAGTGAGGCTCTCCCCCTGACCCTACAGCAGCAGCCTGGAGAGACAGGAGACCCTTCAAGACAATGTAGTGCAGACCTCTGCCCACATCCGCTATGAGCCTCACCTCCTGTTCTCTAGGTACGGTTGGACCCCAGGCTGGGACCCAGCGTTTTCTCCCCATCCTTCCTTGTGCTTCAGGTGTTCCCAGGAACACAAATCCTTGGGCTGCTCAGTCTTTTGGTCCTCACTCCCACTCATAATCAGCCTTTCCTCTTAAGTATCTTACTTTCCCCGGCTTTATCAGGTCCTGAGCATTAGAACTGGGATATGAGGATACAGTCAAACTTTTTTCTTTAAATCAAGCTTGTGTTATATTTAATTTCCTTCTTGGCCACGAGTTCCTATCTCATTACCCATGTGCTGATCCTACGTTCCCTGAGTCTGTGTTTGAATACTGCTTGTGTATTCTGTGTCTGTGTCATGGCTGTGACCTGACACCTCCTGGCTTGGTGTCTACACAGTGAGTCCACTCTGCACCGATATGAGGTTCAACCTTACAGGACTCTCCCAGTGGGTCCTGGCCCTGAATTCAAAACCACTATTAGGGTAAGAAGCTGGAGGGGTCCCAGCATCCTAGAGGCGGGGTTGTGGGAAGAGCCGTGGCTGTGTGGGGAAAGGATGAGAAGAGGCTCTGAGGATTTGAGTCGCTGAAGGGGAAGAGATGAGCCAGGTGCTCTGTCTTTTGCCTCTTTCCAATTTAAGTTCTTCTCCCAGGTTCAGAACCTTGGCTGCCATGCGGCCAATGGCCTTGTGATCTCGGCCCTCCTTCCAGCTGTAGCCCACGGGGGCCATTACTTCCTGTCACTCTCCCAAGTCATCGCTAGCAATGTGAGTCTGGGCTAGAGCATGTGGAACTCTGCCCTCAAGCTAATGGACTCCCATCGGTTGACACACCGCTCTCGGTGCCCCTCTTCCCAGAGCCAGGGAAGGGATTATTCGTAGAAGCAGTTGTGGGAGTGGCTGGTCTGGGAGGGTTCTTGAAGGTGGATCATCCTCTAGGCAAGCTGCTCCGTGCAGAACCTCACCGAGCCCCCAGGACCCCCTGTGCGTTCAGAGGAGCTCCAGCACACAAGCAGACTGGTAGGAAGGTGTCTGGGATGGGAATGCATGTAGAGATAGCTGTTTGGTGACGGACGGGTGGGACATAGCAATGGGGGGGGAGGCCTTTCCACTCCAGAGCTCCGATTGATTTGTCTCTCTTCTGCTAGAATGGGAGTAACACTCGCTGTCAGGTGGTGAGGTGCCGCCTCAGACAGCTGGCTAAGGGCACTGAGATCTCAGTCGGACTGCTGAGGCTGATTCACAATGAATTCTTCCGGAGGGTAAACCTTCCCGTTTCTACCACTCTTCCTTTCTGCCTCTATTTGAAATAGCCACACAAGCCTGGGTAGATGAACCCACGTTTAGGTTCGGCCTCCCTCTGTTTAAGAATAAGCAAGCGATTTCATCTCTCTGATCTTTTTTCTTTATTCCTAAACCTCTTGTTTGATTGTTTGTTTGTTTGGTTTTATTTGGTTTTGAGGCAGGGTCTCTACATGGCCCTGGCTGTCCTGGAGCTCACTGTGTAGATCAGGCTGGCCTTGAACTCACAGAGACCCATCCGCTTCTGTCTCTCAAACGCTGGGATTAAAGGAGTGGCACCACCCTCAGCCTTCTCCTGATCTTTGAAATGAGAACAATGATAACTAGCTTGTGGAATTATTAGGGGGTGATGAGATGGATATGGCAAGCCATCCCTAGAACTTTGATGGCCACCGTTCTTGTATTTTCCTCCTCTTAGCATTCATTAGTGTCATCACAGGAACAGGAATCGGTTCACAGAATGCCCACATTTAATCAATAATTCATTAGGCCAGGTGTGATGATGTACACCCTTGATTTCAGCAAGAGACAGAGGCAGGCGGATCTGTATGAGTTCAAAGTGCATGACTAACCTGGTCTACACATCAAGTCCCACATCAGCCATCCGGCCACACACACACACACACACACACACACACACACACACACACACACACTTCATCAAGTGCATGTTATAGGAATGACTGTTAGGTCAAGACTGAGGAGACTAATCCTAAATGTATCATGTCTAGCTCACTGCAAGTGTTTACTTTTCCTGTTAAACAAATGAGTACAACAGTTTGCTCTACTTACAGGATTTTTATGGGGTAGTGGAGAGTAAGGTTGCATAGTTGAAAGGGGTCTAGACTATGAAAGTCTCTGGAGCTGGGGAGATGCAATTTAATTTACTATGGTCGTAGGCACTCAGAAGTCAGTGTGAGCAGGAACATGGCTGTTTTTTTTTAAAAATCTTTTCATTGATTCCTTGTGAATTTCACATCATGCATCCCAATCCCGCGCATCTCCTTGTCCCTTCAGACCTGCCTTCTGCGCTTGCAAGCTCCCCGACAAAAGAAAAAGAATCTTGTGTGGAAGCTGAAGTGTGTCCTGGTGTGTCCCGGTGTACCCTCTTGCCCATACTTCTTTACTTGCAAATGTTCACTGCAATGCTTATTTGGCCTGGTTTGAGGCCTCTGGCTTCTGTCACACCATCAGTTTTGAATCCTCACAGGACTCCTCTCAGACACCCTGTTGTTGCCCTGTGTCCTGTAGCTTTGGATCCTCAGGACCGGCCCCTTCACATGCTCCAGCAGTTCATGGATGGGGTGGATGTCGGGGTGGGCCAACTCTGGGCCTGGGTGGTAGCTGAGCTGGTCAGCCTGCCAGCTTTCTCACACCCACACCACCAGCGCAAGCTCTCCATCCCTGCCCCACCAAGCTCACCTGATGCCACAGCTAGCAAGGGGCAGAGCCATCTCTCCCGCTCTCATGCCTACCAGAAACCCCGGCTACCAAGGCAAGCTGTACTCTGCTTCCTGGGTGAGGTGCAGGCCGCCCCCCCCAAATGGGGAGAGGTGGGGCCAACTCCCCTGCTCTCATGCCTTTGGGGTCATCTGTCCCCAGTGCCCAGGCAAGGGGTGGGGCCACCTCTGCATAACCCTCAGACATCAACATGGCCCTGGGCAGCAGCCCAGACCAGGGTCACCTACCTGGCCTTTGGCGGTAACAGAGCCCCGCTGCCGCAGGGCCCCAGACCCAGGCATGGCCCTCAGTGGCAGTGTGGGCCCGGACCTCACCACGGCCTTAGGTGGCATCACCAGCTACCAGCTACCCACACCAGGCTGTTCCTCACTATCCTCAAGTCTCTAGCTCTGCCTCGCTTCTTTGCGAACACATCCTGCTTCTCTTTCTCTCCCATCTCTCCACCACTTACTTGCTCATCTTAGTGGTGACCAGGGCCTCTGGGTGTCTAGGGTCATCTCAGGAGTGCTATGCACCAGGCAGGGGGCATTTGGGGCAAGTTCTGCCCATCGAGGGCCTGCATGGCCGTGAGCTGGGGGGTCTTCTCAGGTTTGCTCTGCCCACATTAAGGACACTCAACCCACACTTAGATCCTAATATCAGGGTTCGTGGGAGTTGGTATCTCAGAAGAGAGCTTCAGCCCCACGGAGGTCCCTAAAAGGAAAGGGCAGTTGGACGGCTTTGTAAACAGTGTGTTTGCAGAACAGGCTTTTTTATCTGTTACCCTTCCTCTTCCCCCCCTCTTTTTCCAACATCATATTCTGGTCTTCAGGGCTCTGGTAACTGTGCCACGGGGCAACAACTTTGTTCTTGGGGTTCCATACTCCCCAAGATGATGCTCAGCTTTAAAGGTCTTCCCATCTGCTTGTTCCACAGGCCAAGTTCAAGTCTCTCACAGTGGTCAGCGCCTTCAAGTTAGGAACTGAGGAGGGCAGTGTCCTACAACTGAACGAAGCCTCCTGCTGGAGTGAGGTAGGGCCCGAGCTGTGGAAACAGTGGCAATGAAGCGAGTAAATGAGGATGTTTTTGTCCCCCTCTTTCTTTACAGCTTAGTTTTTAAAATATTATGTGTGTCGCTGTAAGTGTACAGGGGAGTGGAGGTCAGAACAAGGCCTTTGATCTCCCAGACTAAGGCTGTTTTGAGCCACCAGGCGGGTGCTGGGAACCAAACCAGAATTTTTTTCTGCAAGAGCAGCAAGTGCTTTTAACCGCGGAACCGTCTCTCCAGCCCCACAATGGGATTTTTCAGAGCAAAACTGTGCTCTTAGGCAACAGTCCATCAGTCAGAAGAGGCTGTTCCACTGCTTTCCTTCTTGCTTCCATGTTTTTAAGTAGAAAGAGGCTTTATTTATTACTCTATCGGGGACTTGTTACAATGTTGAGTGAGGCTATCTGGGTTAAAGGACACAATAAAACACAAGTCAGGTGTGGTGACGCATTCCTGTGATCCCAGTGCCAGGAGGCTAAGAGAGGAGGCCTGCTAAGAGCTGAAGGCCAGCCTGGGACACATAATAAAGCCCTGCCTCAAAAATCAACAAACAGCAACAAAAAACTGAACAAACTCACAGAAACCCATCCCCCAAACAAAGCAAAACAAAACAAACTCTTCTTGATATGCAGAGCTTCTTGGAGGTGATTCAGACCCTCTCCCCCCTCATCTCCCTGTGGATCCTTCTTGGCAGCATCCTGGGGGGGCTGCTCCTGCTGGCTCTCCTCATCTTCTGCCTGTGGAAGGTGAGCCGCGCTTCTGGGGGTGGGGGGAGCTCCACGCTCACTCTGTCGGGAACCACAGGTTCTGTGCTACACAGATAGACAGGCTGGTGTGTGTGCGTGTGCGTGTGTGTGTGTGTGTGTGATGTTCAGATCTCCTTCACTCTATTCCACAAATGATGCTCGAGTTAAACTAAGCCAAATAAAATAAATCTGAGTCCCATTTTTGGAAACAGAACAAAAGCAAGGACCTCAGATAAGCTGGGGGGCTATTGGCAAGGCCCTCAGTCAGGGCATCTGGCAGCGACTTGTATCTTTTCCTCCGAAGCTTGGCTTCTTTGCCCGTAAGAAGATCCCCAGGGAAGAACAAAGTGGAGAGAAGTTGGAGCAGTGACTGTGGGAGAAGGCTCAGAAAGTCCTCTTTGGCAGCGTTTTCAAGAGACTCGTGTCCAAGAATGAGGCTTGGAGGCTCAAAGGGGAAAAGACGCTTCTGGAATATGTCTCCAGACCTGCAGCCTGACTTGACTTTTGAGCCGTTGGGATGCTTCTGGCATGAGAGGAGGCTTTGCCTCAGACAAGAAGGGCTGGCCCCGAAACACATCATGTCCCCACCCTGAGCACCTCCTGACGGGCTCCACAGCCAACCCTGGGTCTTTGTTTGGGGTTCTACACCCCATCACCCCATCACCATCACAGATGGTTCCTGCCTCTTTTGTCCTTCCTCACAATTCCGAAAAGAAGGTTCCCCCCCCCCTCCTGCCCACTCCACAGGAGAGAGCTGACGTTGGCTTAAAAGAAGTCAAAGTCAACATCTGTGCTTTCCTGTGGAGCCCGTGATTCACGGAGCCGGAGGGGGAGAGTCAACAGGAAAAAAGGAGGGCGGAGAAAAAGCCACAAGAGACATTCTGTACGATTCCGAGGCACAGAGAAGCCTTCAGACAGGCAACTGCCAGTCCCCTGAAACCCGAGACTTCACGGTGCGCCCGCCCTCAGGTGCTGGGGAAACCCAGCTGCCCCCGGGGCGCTCTGAGCTCCCGCGTCCCAGCCCTCATCCTTCCCCGGAGCGAAGCCAGGACCGGGAGCTGAGTTTTCTGAAGTCAGGGGCCCCCAGGTGGTTCAAACTGGAACAGCAGGGAAGCCCGTCGGTCGCTCTCTCCGCTTACTCTTTGGGGCTTCCTTAGGGAAAGCTGCTCGTAGTGGGAAGCTCTTTCACCCCACCAGCACTGGGCACCAGGGGCCCCCTGAGATCCAAACAAGGGAAATCTGCCTGAGGAAGCCGAGGTGGCTGGCGTGAGGCCTCTGGGAAGCCCTTATTTGTCCAGCTTTGGCGCTACGGCAGTAATATCACCTAGGAAGATGTTTCTGGGACTCCTTTCACCGGTTGTAGGTCTCTGTGCTGGAGTGAGTGTTTCAGCCCTTACCTCATGTTTGCTGAAAAACTCAAGTTAATTCTTAAATCCCACCCCCACCCCCTTGTCCTGTGGTTTAATGCACGGGCAATTCTCGTTGTTGTTGTTGTAATTAAGACTTTGAACAGCAAAGACAGTTACTGGTCTCCAGCGTCCAGCTCTGCTCTGAGTGGGCAGTTAAGCAGCTGTCAGGGACCCGGTCCACCCAGGCTGCCCTGGCGTGCCTGCAGTGTTTATTTTGGTGTCCCCAGCTTTCTGTAGCGCCTTCCTCCGGGAGGTTGTCATTTCCACCTTGGTGGTTGGATGGTCAGAACAAATAAAAATCCAATATCAAATGACTCTGGCTCTGTTTGGGTGTCCTACGATAGAGACTGCTCTACGAACTGAGAATGTTCTCTGTAGCTGCTCCACAGGAGCTCTCCTCTGGAGCTCTTCAATGCTCACCTGCTCACCGGGCCCTTCAAAGCATCCTGGGAAACACATAGGCCTGGATTGAAATCTGCTTCTTTCACTTGTTGCTGTATCATCTTGAACAAGTTATGCTTTCTCGGAAGTTTAGATAACAACAAGAGATTTTGGCCTGGTGGTGGTGGTGGCTCACCCCTTTGGTCCCAGCACTGGGGAGGCACAGGCACTCGAGCTCGAGACCAGCCTGGTCTGCAGAGTGAATTCCAGGACAGCCAGGGCCACACAGAGACACCCTGTCTCCAAAACAGCAGGGAGAGAGGGTGAGGGGCGGGGGAGACCCTGTAATGCAGGATTAGGAATGAAGACAGATTTGGGCACATAGACCATGCTGTTTCACATGCATGTGCCCTAGGACAGATTTGGCCTCTGTGCCAGCCTTCTTACATTTAAACTAGAGGTTCTGAGAGCTAAATGAGACCGTAGAGCAAACGTGCCACAAATGCTTAATAAAGAGTAACTATTAATTAGAAATGTTTTGTTATAAGACAATCTACCCTTCCATGTATTACCAGGACTAAGTAGAAGATAGACGGAATATCGAATGGTTCCCTGGACCCCAATTTCACTCTCTTTATGCTTCTTGCTCCTCCCCCTAAATCCTACCCTGTGCTTCGTGCTCTTTGAGGCAGACTCCTTGAGCTTCTGTGGCGATAATTAACTGATGATTAACAGCGTTCTGATGGTAAAATTCAAATCGACTTGATTTCCTTAAATACCTGGGTGCTTTCTGGCTCTTGTTTATTCGTCTGTTGCCTTGGTGGTTGTTTATGAGATGCCCAAGCTGGCCTGAACTTGTTGTACAGCCAAGGCCTCCACTTTCCAAATGCCGATGTTATTGGTGTGTACCACACCTGGCTTTTTCTAGGCAATTTGTGGGACAGCCAGGGCTCCTGTATCCCCAACAATGCGCACACTGATCAATTGCCTTCTAGAGATCATGATTTTGCCTCTCTTCCTTAACCCTGAGAACGGGGGCCTGTCAGGCAAGGACATCACTCTGCTCCAAGCTGCTCAGCTGTTTAGTTACAGAAGGGGGCCCACAGCAACCCCTCTATGTACCTCATGCGAGCTATAACTTGATCAGACTTTGTGAAACAATTAATGTCTGCTTAGACCGAGGCCATACCCACACTGAAAACATCCCTCAGAGATGGAGAGATGGTCCAGTGGTTAAGAGCACTTGCTGCTCTTGCAGAACACCTGGATTTGTTTCTCAGCATCTATGTGGTGGCTCACAACCATCCTGACTCCAGTTGCAGGGGATCCTATGCTTTCTTCTGACTTCTGTATGTCCCAGGCATGCACATGGTACCACATACATATATGCAGACAAAATATTCATATCCATAAAATGAATAACTTAAAAAAAAACTTCATAAAAAGAGAGAGCACATCCCTTTTGTGAGCCCAACATGGATGCTTGGAAAGGAACTCGGGTCCTCTGGAAGAGTAGGGAGTACTCCTGACTACTGAGCATCTCCCCAGCCCCCTCTTCCTGGGGGCTGGCAGATAGCGCAGCAGGTAGAGGTGCTCCGCAAAGTCTGACCACCTGAGTTTGAGTCCCCAGGGTGCATAGGTGGAAGGGGTGAGCCCCTCCAGGCTGTCCCCTGATCTCCACAGCTGTGCCGTGGCAACCGCTCCCACAAACACATGCACACGGAAATAAAGCCATGCAATGCGTTTTCGAAAGGAAACTTTTTCTTTTACTTGTGTCATCAGTTTTTAACATATTGCCTAAGATCAAGCGTATTATTTGTGTCCTCCTAGCAAGGCTACCTCTGCTTCCTATCCACTCTCAGCTCTGGCTCAGGACTCTATCTTCCTCAGCCTATTCCTCAGAAGGCTCATGAGTGTTTTGAGGCAAAACTTGTGTAGAAGCCACTATAGAAACAATGGTCTGTTCTCCCACACCAGACTATTCCTTTCTGGTTGCTTCTTTGCTCGTTCATTCATTCACTTAACAGACATTAAAAACCTACTATGTGCCAAGCAAGGGGACTAATGAAAACACAGCTGCTACCATCAGAATGCCCCCGCCTGATAGGAAAAGCAAAGATGTAAACCCACAACAGGAAGGCGTGGCTGTGTCGGTGATGGGAAGAAGGGTGAATAAGCCACACACCAAGACTTATGCACACTCTGTTGGGCACGCAGTCAGGGTTTTGTTTTGTTTTGTTGTGAGACAAGGTTTCTCTGTGTAGCCCTGGCTGTCCTGGAATTCACTTTGTAGACCAGGCTGGCCTCCAACTCAGAGGTCCATCTGCCTCTGCCTCCCAAGCGCTGGGTGGGATTGAAGGCATGTGCCGCCCCTGCCTGGCTGTGGTCAAGAGTTTTAAGGGGAAACAACAACAATTAAAAACACTTCATGTGGGGCCCGCCTGGAGCACACCAGCTGCAAAGGGAATTAGGTATGGTTTGTGGCAACAGTTCAGTCTTGGGCTTCTGTGAGAAAATACTAAGAGTGAAGGCAGGTTCGGTTTTTGTTGTTTGTTTGTTTGTTCTTGAGACAGGTTCCCTCTATTGTGGACCTCTGGCTGTCCTGGAACTTGCTGTGTAGACCATCAGACTGGCCTCAGCTCACAGAGATCTGCTTGCCTCTTTTTCCGGAGTGCTGAGGCTGAAGGCGTGAGTCACCAGGCCTTTTTCTGGCTTCTGTTTCAGAAGAGCCTTGCAAACCAGGTTAAGCACTTCGGGCTTGGAGCATCTCAGAGGGAGGCACTACCTGAATCCAAGCACGGGATTCGCACGGCAGATGGAGAAAGCTGACGCTGGGAGTTGTCCTCTGAGCCCCACAAGCGTGCCCGCCCTTAGCACACATTCACCCCCTTGCCCCCAGTAAATGAATTAATGTAAAACATTTCTAAAAAGCACTCTGGGCTTTACTCCATAGGGTTTCATGCGCATCTCGGCGGGCTTGCTCGGGTTACAGGGAAGAGAGAAGAGATGGGAGGTCAGACGGGTTGGCTGCAGCCGACACCGGTCAAACAAGAATTGCTATGAACTGCGTCTCAAGAACAACGATAAGGAAGCTAGTTTGTTTGTTTTTGGAGAGGGGAAGCCCGCAGTACGGAGCCTCCCCTTGCTTCCTTCCCAGAGCCGCGTTAACGCGATTGCTCGGTCCCGTCCTGGCTTCTGTACCCCTCGTTGCGCTGGGCACACTTGGGTGCCCAGGTCTGCTGGGCGCCGCAGGAGCCTGTGCTTTCCGAACCGTTCTCTTTAGAAGCTCTCGGGGCTTGGCTTTCCGTTGGGGAGGAGGGGATGAAGCGCACGCGGGTCGTGACTAAAGGCCTCTGGACGTGACTAAGCGTCACCACGGGTAAAAGCGTCAGTGCCCTCGAAGCTCGGGAGGTCCGCGCGCTGGCCCGGGGCGGGAGGGGCGGGGCGGGGCGGGATTTGGGGCGGAGCTCCAGGCGCAAAGGCGGGGGAGCGACGGGCTGGGAGTCGCCTCTGCGGAGGCCGCGAGCAGCCCTCTGAGACGCAGTGGGTAGGTGCAGGGGGCCCGGGCTCAGGGTGAAGGGAGGGACTTGAGGGCCAGCCCAGGTGGCGGCTGGGGACTGCGGGCCTTTTGCCTCCGCAGGGGCGGGGCCGGGGCGGGGCCGGGGCGGGGCTTTCGGCTCAGCCGTCCGGCCCGAGTCTCTGATTGAGCGCGCTGGGATCTGGGGCGGGACCCGTTCCGCTTTTTTGACAGCTGTCTCCAGCACCGCTGCGGAGTGGGTTTGGGGATCTGTGGCCCGGCTCTCTGCGCGTCCCCGTCCCCCCGCGGCCCGAGCCCCGGCCATGAAGCGCATCTTCTCCTGCTCCAGTTCACAAGTGGCGGTAGGTGCCAAATGTGCGGGAGCAGGGCTGGGGCCGGGGGCCAAGCCCTGTGTTGACAGAAGACCCGAGTCCCGTCTCCATGGCAGGTCGCGTTAAGCCTGCGTTAGTCTCTCTCCTGCGCTGCTGCCAGCCCTGCTAACTGAACTTATGGGTGTCATCCAAAACGTGTTCCTCAACCTTCCTAATCTTTTCCTTCCCAACATTTACGACTTCCAGCTTCTGATTTGCTCTCTGAAGACCCGTCCTCTTCCAATGGCTCTGCTCTCTACTTCAGCGCTGGCTCCCGGTACTAGCCCACCTCCAGACGTCTACCCCACCCCAGCCTTTGCCTCCGTTCCTACTTCCACCCCTAATTCCTGCCCTATAGCTTCGTTTTTCATCCCTGCCTTCCCCCTACAACTTCCTTTCCCACACAGATCCACTTTGACTGTTGGCTTTCTGCCCCAAAGTATTCTCAGCCCGGAGCCTTCTCCCAGTCCTTCTTCGCAGCCCCCTCCATCCTTGCCTCTGGTCCGCTCCATGCAACATCCATTCCCATTCTCTCAAGCACCACTCCAAACCTCTTTCCAAGAGGCTATGCAACATGGATCCTCTGCTTTCTCTTTAATTTCTGGCCACCTTTCCCTCAGCATTACTCCCTCCGCATTACTCCCTCCGCCTGGACCTCCTGCCTGCTCACTGTGGTTTAATCATCTAATCTAGCTAGCTGGACGGGCGGGCTGTCAGAGGGCAGGCCAGTCGCCTGGCTGATGCCCAGGAGCCTGGGTGAGTTGCCTGCAGAATACACCTTGGCCTGTTCACTGCAGTGTCTGGTCCTCAGACTGGTTCTTGGGACCAATCAGGTCTTTCTGCCTGGGACCCTCCCTGATTATTCCTTTGTCTAGTTTGGAATTTGCATTCATCTTCTTTGATTGAGTTCGGGGAATGTGATGGTGAGGGAGAAGACAGACTGGACTGGCGATGACAGAGCCCCTGGTAGAGGTTCTCTATTCTCCGTGCTCCCCCCTCTAGGGCAAAACAACGACTTCAGAAGGTGGTGGTTCGCGGAGGTACAGCTTTCCTTCTGGAAAGAGCTCTTCCAGGGTGACCCTCTGTAAAGACAGAGCATCTTCTGTGGAGACTCGGGTGTGGGCTGCTTAACTGACTTGTCCTTCACAAGCAAACGTGAGAACTGTTCAGGCGTCTCACTGTGCGCGGGCAGGCCACAGAACCCTGGCAGAAAGCTGTGACGCAAGGGTAGGAAGTGCTGCAGTCTGTCTCTGTCCCATTTGCGGTCACTTTTACACACAGCTTCTCCACACTGACCAAACAGTCAAAAGGCCTTCACTATTCCAGCTAACAGAAACTGAGGCTACCTGGATCCTAGCTTAACGCTCAGTGATTTTCTTCTAATCCATGTCTACTTTTCCCTAAATATGGAAGGCCCTACAACCATTTCGCTCTTTCAGATCATGGAGTCTGCTTTCTCCTTAGGAGGAGAGACAATGTCAGTCTTTTATTCCCCCCCCCCTTCTGGAGACAGGGTTTCTCTGTGTAGCTCTGGCTGTCCTGGAACTCTCTCCATAGACCAGGCTGGCCTTAAACTCAGAGATCTGCCTGCCTCTGCCCTCCCGAGTGCTGGGATTACAGGCGTGCTGTCATGTCCAGCTTATTTCATCCTTCTTTGATTCTTGCATCCACATACTAACCAAGCCCAACCCTGCTTAGCTTCTAAAATCGAGCAAGTTCAAGGTGATATTGTCCTAGGCTCTTTCTGATTCTCTAGTCTTTGGGCAGTGCCTCCTTTCCCAGATGCTGGAGTGAGCGATGGATGAGATCTTGGGATCTAGAACCCTCCCTCCATCCACTCATCTGAACTCTTGCTATTGCAAGATTGTAGCATATCAAGCGTGTAGGGTAAAGGGCACACTCACAGCTGTATGCCTAGAATGAGAACATCTTTTCTCAGATCAAGCTTGCAGAAGATGTTAAAACAGGCTAGCTTCAGCTATAAGTTGTTTCCTCAAGAAACCTGACCATAATAATCCCAAAGATAATGCCCTCTGCTTACCACACTGAGTCTATCACAGATAGTGTGACAGCTTTCCTGGGCACTCCAGAAACCCAGCTTCCCAAATATGCCAGCAGATCGTATCTCCTTATCCCAATTCAAGACCTTGCATAGGAACCTTCATTTGAGGCAAGGATGGGAGAGCATTGGCCATTTAACAGCCAGTCTGCATTAGGCTGAGGATGTAGCTCAGTTGAGAGAGTGCTTTCCTAGCATGCATGAAGCTCTGGGTTCAACCCTCAGCTCCATGTACCTAGGCATGGTGACACTTTCCTGTAGTCCCAGCACTCAGGCAGAAGAATCAGAGATTCAGGGCCATCCTCTGCTACAGATGGAATTGTCTCAAAAAAAAAAAAAGTAATAAACCAACAAAATCTAATGTACGTGGCTTACTGCCTCGGAAGATGACAAAAACTCAGCCCCTCTAATCGCAGGTTATTTGACTCAAAGTTAACGATGTCCTCCAGGTTGGCATAAATCTAAGTTTACTCTGACACAGACCAAGAGGTGGGCTGGTGAACAGCTTTCAGCCTGTGGCTGAAAGTTCCCCAGCTCAGCATAGGGGAACTTCTATTGCATGTAAAGCGTTAAGGACCTCCAAGGCAGACTTCCCATTTCCGCCCACCCAGTCTTCAGCGGAAGACACTCCTGCACTACCTGTTGGCGTCTTGGTTTCCCATCTCGACAGGAAGCCTGAGAGTTCACAGTCAGAGACTGGAACAGGTAAAATTACTTGCGCACGGTTCCCTAATCTCAGCTACAGCAATGACACCGCTTGTCCTTGTTAGGGAGTCTGCTGATAATTAATTTGGTGATTGTTCCCCTGGGGCTGTGATGGTAATCCACTGTCTCCTTTCCGAGGTGCCAAGGCCAGCACTGGGCTGAGCCTTGGGCTTTGGAAGCAGTCTTCTTGTACATTCCTGTGCCGTGGCTCCACGGGAAGAAGTTCTGCCCATTCTAAAGTCTCCCTGGCAAAACAAGGCTGTGTGAAGTAAACCGGGTGGAATTAGAAGGACCTAGCTGGAGAGGAACACAACTACGGCACCAAACACACTTCTCCGCCTATCTATCTTGCCTAACACATTGGCTTAGATGAAGAAGATTTTCCACTCACTTAGCTGGAGAATGTTAAGTCCTGGCACATCCAAAAAGTGCCCAGCAGAGCCAAAAAGGACGAGGACTGGAGCTTCCATTTATTCTGTGTCTGCTCCGTGAGAGAAACAAAATCCAATGCTTTGTCTGTGCTTGTATCATTAGAGAACTGAGGTTCAAGGAAATGTGTATACACCTGACGCAAAGCCAGAGCGCCAATGTGATAATTTTAGAGCTGGTACACAGTTAAGACCTCCTCACCCTTGGGGGCAGGAGGAGGATGTGAGTGGCAGGCTAGTCAGGGAAATATGCATCGAGAACAAGAAAGAGAGCTGACGTTTGCGAGCAGAGGACTTGAGGCTAAGGTCAGCTGGTGGCACCAGTGCGTGGTCGGGCACTGTTTTCTATGGGATGACCTGGTTCCCAAGGGGCACTGAAAAGAAGCGTGTTCTTGCGAGTCAGAACCTGTCAGCTGTGGAGGAGTCATTCTGTTTGCTTTGTCATTTGAGAAAAAACCTGTTCAGAGACTCCTCCACATGCAGGGAGTAACATCCGAGAGTGAGTAGCTTTGCCCCGGAGGCATTCTCAAACTTTATCTGGAAATAAGTAATCCTTTTCCCATCGCTCTGTAGTAGTGCGGTCTGAGGTGGAAATTGGGCCTGGACGCGAGAGGCCTGTGCTATTTCTGAAGCCAATGCCGTTACTCTTTTATGTGATCCTGGACAGATGTTTTACACATGTGTGCTTACATTTCTTTTTCTGTGAAAGACAGAAGATAATATCATTCCTGTCTATTTTGGGGGACCATTAGAGGCTAATTGGAAGGACTAGGAGAAGTTATGAGTGTTTTATAGGAGCGTTACCTCAGAATCCCATCTAGCCTAGACAATTTTATGGCTTGGACCTTTAAATCTTTCCTGTGTTCATGATTAACAATTTGTACCGACTATATAAACAGTACTTGAGAGCGAATTATTGGGCTTCCACAGACTTTTTTTTTCACCCTTTCCTAATCCCTCTTTCTTGTTGAGATTGTGAGATGGAACAGGCCACCCCTGATCTCTCACTGCTTCCTGTTTTGTTGTGAGGATGCCATACACTTATGTGGTTCTGTCTACATTGGCTCGTCTAATGCATTGTGGTGAGGTGGTTATTACTGCCTACATTTTATGTGCAAGGAAACAGGTTAGAGTGTTTCATGGCTTGCTCTAGGTTACAAAGCTGAGAATGTAGCCGAACCAGGTCCCACACTCAGTTTAGCTGACAAAATGCTCGTCTTGAAGACTTTTCCTTCCTACCAATGATCTTTGCATTCCCCACTCCTTCCCTTCCCCTGACCAAACCAGGCTTTTCTGTGCTTGCAGCCCTAGGTGTTTTTACACAGCTCTTTCTTTTATGCCCTGTAATACTTCAATTATTTTAATTACTTCTCCACCCTCAAACCCTGAGCTGGAAGGATGGAACAATGTATGCTGAGGTGTGGCTGCTGTCTGGGACAGCTGCTCCCTGACAGAGAAACTAGGAGGGAGGAGGGTGGAATCCCTTTCTTCCTCTTTTTTTTTTTTTTTTTTTTTGCTGCCTGCCTAAGCACAGCTAGAAATTGGCCTGCCCTTTGCTGGTTGTTTCCAGTGAAGAGGTGGAGAGACTAATGGACGACATAGCCAGATATGATAGAGGAAAGCAGAAACTCCGTAACCACTGCCCACCCCACCCCACCCCCAACTTGGGGACCCAGAGTCAAGGGCCAGAATGGAACCCAGAACCTGCACATGCCAGGATATTCCCAGCCTCTAGTGGGAGGGTTTTTCCCCCTCTTTTTGAGACAGTTTCTCTGTGTCCTGGAATTCTCTTTCTGTAGACCAAGCTGGCTTTGAATTCACAGAGCTCCACCTGCCTCTGCCTCCCGAATGCTGGTGTTAAAGGCGAGCGCCACCTCATCCTATCATCTGGTGAGAGTTTTAGATGAAATTTATTTTAAAAGGTAAATTTAGGGCCTGGAGAGACAGCTCAGCAGTTAAGAGCACTGGCTGCTCTGCTAGAGGACCTGGGTTCAATTCCCAGCAACTACATGGCAGCTCACAACTGTCTAAAACTCCAGTTCCAGGGGACCTGACATCTTCACATAGACATGCAGACAAAACATCAATGCACAAGAAATAAAAATAAACAGATCATTAAAAAAAGAGGTCTTGTCAGGTATAGTGATATGTACCTTTAAGATTCAGGAGACAAAGGCAGGAAGATTTCTGTGAGTTTAAGGCCAGTCAGGGCTGCAGAGTGAGTTTCAGGCTAGCCAAATCTACATAGACTCTTTCTCAAAAACAAACAAACAAACAAACAACAACAAATCCCCAAACAAAAACAAATAAATATGAAGAGTCCTAAAATGCTAGACATTCACCATTATTAATAATTTTGAAGCTATGTACGGGAGAACTACTTAAAGGCCCGAATTCAAGAGACTGAAATAAGAGGATCTTGAGTTTGAGGCCCGTCTGCCTACCTAGAGACTCCGAGACCAGCCTAAGCTAGCTTGACTCTGTTTCAACAAAGCAAAACAATTTGAAAATAATAAAAGTATCTGAGTGGTGGTGCTGCACGCCTTTAGTGCCAGCACTTAGGAGGCAGAGGCAGGAGGACCTCTGTGAGTTTGAGGCCAGCCTGGTCTATAAGAGTGAGTTCCAAGACAGCCAAGGCTACACAGAGAAACCCTGTCTTGAAAACAAAACAAAACAAAAAATAAACAAAGCAACAACAATCAAAACCCCCAAATAATAAAAGTAATTTTTTTTGTTTGTTTATTTTCTGAAAGAGTCTTTTAGCCTCAAACCCGAGTCTCTTATCTCAGCCTCCCACTTGATACTTGGGAAGTATCATCATACATATACACCCCAGCACACAAGTGGGATTTCATGCATGTCAAACTGGCCTTAAGCTGGCTCTGTAGCTGGGGATGGGCCTGATCGTCCTGCCTCCCCCTCCTGGGACACTAATATCAGATGATAAGTTTGAGCCACCACACCAACCTTTGCAATGTTTAATTCAGTGATCCCTGAGGCCCCTCTGGGTCCATGGTTGACAGTTGCTGTCAATAATTCTTGGTGACACTCAGACTGGTAGGTATTTTGCCGGATCACTTACTGATCTGCTGCTCTGTGACAGGTGATTATGAGCAACGAGGACCTCCGGATGCTCCTTTCCTCTTCCTGGGCATCTAGTGTCGCTTTTCTCTCCCCGTCCCACTGCCAGCCCCAATGGTCATACAATCTGTAACTCCACCAGGTGGAGAAATGGAACCGCCGAGACCAGAAGCTGCTGGAGGCCGTGCAGCGGGGGGATGTGGGACGCGTGGCCGCCTTGGCCTCTCGGAAGTCAGCCCGACCCACTAAACTAGACTCAAATGGCCAGTCCCCGTAAGTAAGTCTTCTTGACCCTGCCCTGGTATGTGGTCCTTTTTGAAAACTTCAAACTTCAGAACGATCAGGGGAGGCCTATAACTTCAGAGCCCTTTTATTGTTTGAAGCGGCGAGCGTATAGCTAAACCTTTGCCATGTATCAAGCACAGAACAAACGAGGAAGGAGGATTTTGTCCAAGAGTTTCAACCACTGCACAAGCCATATTGACTTGAAAAGGCTATAAAATTAAGCCAACAGAGAAGTAATTGCTAAATAAAATTTCCTCATCAAAAAAGTTAGGAGGGGGTGTAAGTGGGGAATGAAGGAGTAAGTCATGGGAGTCTTGAGGCTAGAGGGGTGTGCTACCTGCTGCCAGCCTTCTGCTCTGGTCTGGCTGACTCTGATGCCTGATACAGGTCTCTGATACAGGTCTCAGAGGGCTCTGATACAGGTCTCGGGAGGGCTCTGTGCTGGGAGAGGCAGACAATCACGGGTTCTCTTAACGTCCCTACACAGTCTGAAATCCTCTGAGACTCGTAGCTCTTCTAGCTTATCTGGCAGCGTCCTCTGACTTCACGGCTGTAGGTCACGAAGGCAAGGCTTCTCTCTTAGCAAGGTAGACTGGGAGCCTCCCTCTCTGCTCTGAGAGTTGGCTTTGGGCTAAGGAGCAGAAGAAGCAGAGCTTATTAAATCTCCCCCTTGTCGGCTGTGCTGGTACCTGCTTATAATCCCAGAATTCGGGAGGATCAAGCATTTGAGGCCAGCCAGGTCCCTATAGTGAGTCTCTACCTCAAAACAAACAATCAAAGCCAAAGTAAAGACAAAGAGTTGTGTCCCCGCCCCACCCCCACTTTACCCCCTGGTCTTTCATCCCCGTTCTGTTTCTTGGCTTTGACACTGACAGCTTCCATCTGGCAGCCTCCAAAGGCCTGACAGAGTGTCTGACAATCCTGCTTGCAAACGGGGCTGACATCAACAGCAAGAATGAGGACGGTGAGTCAGCCAGCACCGCCTCCCCCTGTGCTGCAAGACTGTCTCTGTAGCTGCAGAGGGGCCCGGTGCTGGGCTCTGATGGCGGTGCCAACTGTGGGCCTCTGCTTCTTTGCTCAGTAAGTCTCGGCCAGCATCTTCCTGTAAGCTAGGCACACCTCACCCTAGCTGCCCCGCCTCCACCGAAGGTACCAGCTGCTTGGGGAACAGGAATTTCTGGCCCGGTGTGGCCTAGAGCTTCTCTTCTCTAATCTCCCTCTGATTATCTGTGCGTCTCTTGCCTTCCCTCCCAGTGAGTCATCTGAATTCATGGGGCCACCCACCCTCTCTCTCTCTCTCTTTCCAGGAAGCACCGCCCTTCACTTGGCCACCATCTCCTGTCAGCCACAGTGTGTGAAGGTCTTGCTTCAGGTAAAAGCGGTCCTGCAATGCTCTCCATCCTTGTCTTGTAGTAACTGACAACATTGTCTCATTCCAAATAACACAACCAACAGCCACTTATCAATATGTCCACAAACGTGTGTTTAACATCTCCTCTGTGCATGTACCATGCTCGATACTGTCTTTAGGGGCAGGTCAGAAAGCAGGGTACCCAAGGACTAGAGGGCTCTACACATATGGGCAGGTAGAAGAAAAGCAGGGATGTGCAATTAAAAATGTCTTTGCGGGGAGAGGCTAGTAAGAGGGATCAGCAGGTAAAAGAACTTGCTGCCAAGTCTTGTGACCTGAGTCTGACCTCCAGAACCCACTTGGAAGGATAGAACTGACCCCTGCAAGTTGTTCCCTGACCCCCCCCCCACAAGCATATCCATAGCCCCCTCCCCAAGTAAGAATAAATAAAGAAAATATGATGGGAAGGGGCGTTACAGACATTAGCATAAACAAAAATATACTAGTGTACTGACATGTGGGTGATTTAAGTCTTCCAATAGACCGCTGAGCACACTCTGACTATTCTCCTTTTATAACTCCTGAGCGTTTCCAAATTTCAAGTAATGGTCCCTAAACTCCAGCCAATTCAGGCGTCATTTCCTTTACTAATATTTATTTACTGATCGCCTGATTTGTTTGTTTTCTTTGTCCCTAGTTAGAGTTAGGACTGAATTTCAAGGCTGTCCCATCTGCAGGGAATGACTGGGCTTGCCTAGCAGTTGGCTTCCCTCAGAGCTGTGGTCCTCCTTTTCCTTTTCCTATTACCATGGAAACTGGTGACTGATATGGGGTACGGGGTGAGGACGCTGACACCAAGCTTCATCGCTGCTTCTCTCTGTGGCTATTTACAGCATGGTGCTAACGAAGATGCCGTGGACGCAGAGAACCGTAGTCCGTTACACTGGGCAGGTGTGTGCCTGGGGGCTGCTGGGAAACATGAAGGGTCATGGGAAGGAGGGACAGATGCGCTTCAAACCTCTTCTCACCAAACTTCTTTCAATCCTTCCAGCCTCCTCTGGCTGTGCCTCGAGTGTCCTCCTGCTGTGTGACCACGAAGCTTTCCTGGATGTGCTGGACAATGTGAGTATCAGATGGACCGATGGGCGGCGTCTCACACTGGGAGGCTGCCGCTTTCTCTGTGTTTGGTTGGCCAGATTCTGTGAGTCCCTCCTCCATCCCTCTTCTCCTTATCCTTTGGGGAGCCTCAGGACTTGAGCTTGTTTCAGCAGGGGGAGAGGGGAGTTGGTAGGGTTGGACGGTCAGATCCTTGTCTCTCACACTGTCCCACAAACCTCTGCAGGATGGACGCACGCCCCTGATGATTGCGTCGCTGGGTGGTTACGCCACTATCTGCTCACAGCTGCTGCAGAGGGGTGCCCGGGTGAACGTCACAGACAAGGATGACAAGTGAGAGTCTCTATCTTCCATCCCAACTTCCAGGCCTTTACTTATCTAGAAAGGAGCCCGTGGGAGAGAACAGGATAGTCTCTGTTCTTCGGGGCCTCCTCCCTTCCCAGGAATGACTCAGAAGAGCTTTGCTTGGTGCTCTGACTAAGGTAGCCATGCTAGCACAGATGATGCTAGGAGTAGAATGGCTACCTCTGGGGTCACTGCTCTAATTTGCTGCTTCCTAAACTGTGGGGTTCTTTCCTTCCAAACTTATGCAGAAGAGTGCAGTGGTGCACACTTGCAGTCCAGTACTCGGAGGGTTGAGGCAGGAGGATTATGAACATATATGTCTGTGTGTGCGTGTGCACACGCAGAACTTTAGCATTCTATAGAGCAGACAAAAATGGAGCCCTCCCAGTGGTCCCATTTTCTGATGGTCCAGTTCCAAGGAACACCCCTGGAAAAGTCCTACTCTGGGGCAACGCTTTACCCCTGGCTGGTGTTGGTGTGCTGGTCTGGCTCCACGGAGTGTGGGCTTACCCTGTGACTGGAACTCCTGAGACCAGGAGGGGAAGCTGATGCTGCAGGTTTGTCTCCGCTCGCAGATCAGCTTTGATCCTTGCCTGTGAGAAAGGCAGCGCTGACGTGGCTGAGCTGCTCCTGAGCCACGGAGCAGATGCTGGAGCCGTGGACAGCTCAGGGCACAATGCTCTGGACTATGCTCTGCGTACACAAGACAAGGAGCTGTGGAGGCTGCTACAGCAGGCGCTGAACCGACGGCGGAGAGGCGGTAAGGTCCCTTCATGCCTCCAAGATCTCTTACTAGCCAAAGAATTAAAGAAGCCGCTTAGTACCCCACTGCTCAGGAAAGCAGTCCACCCGAAAAAAAAAAAAAAAAAGTCACAAAATTCCTCAGTGCAGCCTTTGCTTGCTGACCGCAACTCTGGCTAATGTTTTTGTTGTTGTTTATTTGCTTTTAAGAAGGTTTCTCTGTGTAGCCCTGGCTGTCCTGGAACTCACTCTGCAGACCAGGCTGGGCTCAAACTCAGAGGTCCTCCTGCCTCTGTCTCCCAAGCGCTGGGATTAAACGGCTCTTGCTATTGTCATCCATGTGATTTCTATTTTTGCCCACCACCGATGTCTCAATACCTACTCTAGCACCGTGATCAATGAAAGAAAGGAGCGAACAAAACAAAGGAGCCCTCCATCTCTGGGCTAGGAAGCCAGAGTTGCTGGGTAGTGATGGATCCGTGGAAAAGGAGTGTCACCAGGAGTTGTGTGTGAGGCCTTAGCATAATGAGAGGCTACCTTTTCCCTAACGAAGACTGAAAACTGAAGGAGAGCTGAGTTCTTATTCGTTCTGTGTCTTCTGTTACAGGTCATGGACTGGTTCAACACCCAGATCACACACCTCAGGTATGACCCCTAAGTGTCTCTCCTTTTTGTTTCTGACTTGCCCCCAACCCCCAAGAAATTCCACTAATCCGTGTGGGCATCAAGTCATTGTCAGAGAAGCAAGGTCTTTGCGGAGGCGAGTCTTAGAGCCTCACATTCCTGTTCTTTCTGACATAGGCCTCTCCGTCCGGGCCTCAGGTGGGGCCGCCTCCTAAGAGCCCCCGGAGAGCAGAGCCCGAGGAAGAGCAGGAGGAAAAGGAGGAGGAAGAGCAGTGCTCAGAAGAGTGGAAGTGCAGGTATGAAGAGGAGCGGAAGAAAGTCTCTCAGCTGGAGCAGGAGCTGGCGCGAAAGACTGAAGAGTGCAAGGCTGGAGCAGCGGCCTTCTTAGGCCTAGAGACCCGGATTAGAGAGCAGGTTCAAGAGTTGGAGCACATCCTGCTGCGAGAGCCTGGCGCTCCAGGAAGACAGGGCCCTGGCCTCCGGCCTGGAGGAGATGGTATGGAGCAGGGCTGTCCCCTGACCCTGCTGGCTGAGAGGATCCAAGAGCTGAAGAAGCAGCAGAGGGCAGCAGCCACAGTAGAGCTGACGTCAGCCTCCGAGGAAGCTGAAGAGTTAGCGCCAGCAGAGATCCAGCGTGAAGCCCGCGGAAAGTCCCAACAAGAACAGGGGCGGCCCCAGAACTCAAGGCCTGAGAGCATCGGAAACGGCGCAGGACGGCAACTCATCAGCCATGGGGGCCAGAACGCTGAGCAGGTGTGTGCTGGCCAGAAGGCGAGGTCCCCGGCTCTGGGGACTGACCCAGCGGGCGCACTGGGAGAACCAGCAGGCCTCGCAGCCATGGATCAGCTCCTCCTGCAGCTGAGGGAAGAGCTGGCCGCCGTGTGGCGGGAAAAGGATGCTGCCAGAGGGGCTTTGTCGAGACCAGTGCTGGAGGGAGCCCTGGGGGCTCCCAGAGCTGAGGCTGCAGCAGCTGCTTGGGAGAAGATGGAAGCCAGGTTGGAGAGGGTGCTGGTGAGGCTGGATCGCGCAAAAGCGGGGCTGCAGGTGAGACCCGAGGCCCCTGCCCAGAGGTCCCGAGACGGGGCCCCCAAGGCAGTCCCAGGATGCATTAAAGAGCAGGAAGAAAAGAGGACGGCTCCCGGAGCCAGGGGGGAACCCTTAGGGGCCCCTGGAGGAGAACAGGCCTCAGGAGGCCTGGCGAAGGGCCCCCTGGAGAAAGAGGTGTCAGCACTGAGACTGAGCAACAGCAACTTGCTGGAGGAGCTAGGGGAGCTGGGGAGGGAGAGGCAGCGTTTGCAGGGAGAGCTGCAGTCCTTGACCCAGAGGCTACAGCGGGAGTTCGTGCCCAAGCCCGAGGCGCAGGTCCAGCTGCAGCAGTTGCGGCAGGACATGGGGTCGCTGACGCAGGAGCTGGCCGCAGAGAAGGAGGCGACGGAGACGCTGCGCAGGCGACTGGCCTCCCACAACAGCTGCCTCCAGAGACTGTGGAACTGCCTCCCCCCAGACCTCGCGGGCAAGAACTCAGGCCCCCTGGAGGAGCTGCAGGCCTGCATCAGCACCCTGGCGGGTAGGTACCAGGAGGCCCAGCAGGTGCTGGCTCGGTTGGAGGAAGAAAACCAGCAGCTGAGGGCATCCCGGGCCCCCTGCGGGGAGCCGGAGGCGTCCCCCCAAGTGGCTGCCCTGGAAGAAGATCTGGGCAAGCTGGAGGGAGAGCTCCGGGCCGTGCAGGCCACGATGAGCGGGAAGAGCCAGGAGATCTGCAAGCTCAAGAAGCTGCTCTACCAAGCCACGGAGGAAGTGGCCGAGCTCAGGGCTCGCGAGGCAGCCAGCCTGCGGCAGCACGAGAAGACGCGAGGCTCGCTGGTGGCCCAGGCCCAGGCCTGGGGCCAGGAGCTCAAAGCCGTGCTGGAGAAGTACAACACGGCCTGCCGGGAGATGGCCCGGCTGCGGGACGCCGCGGCGGAGGAACGTCGCCGCAGCGAGGACCTGGCGGCGCGGGCGGCCGAGCAGGAGCGCCAGGCCGGCGAGATGCGGGGTCGCTCGGAGCAGTTCGAGAAAACCGCCGAGCTGCTCAAAGAGAAGACGGAGCACCTCATCGGGGCTTGCCGGGACAAGGAGGCCAAGGTGAGGGGTGGAGGCAGCCTGGGAGGGCGGTGTGTTCGTGGGGCTGCAGAACGGAAGGTCAGAGTAAAAAACAGCGTGTGTGTGTGTGTGTGTGTGTGTGTGTGTGTGTGTGTGTGTGTGTG